GAGAGCTAGAACTGGTTAAATTGAATCAATTACAAGCAGTAATGGCAAAGTTCTTGGTTCAGGCTTGTAGCAGTGATGGAGTAGACTGCAGGTTCAAATCAAGTCTCTGGAGTCTATCCACAGCTGGCATGGGGCCTTCAGTCCTTTGTTCAGAGCTTCAGTTTGCAGCAAGGTTCCTGCAGAGGTCAGAAGCAGGATTGAAGACCAGATGGAGGAGTCTTTTATAGGCTTTCTCTTGTGGGTGGAAACCCCTTGGTTCTCCTGTGCAAGATCACAGCAAGATGGAGTTTGGAGTCACATGGGCAAGTCACATGTCCATGCATGACTCAGTTCTTTACAGGCCGACGCCACTGTTTACATGTTAGTTTGAATGTTCCCAGGAAAGCTCAGATGTGGGTTGGCATCTCCCAGAGTTCACTGTTAGCTAAGTGTTTCTTGATTGGGAACTTACTGAGAATAGTCCCTTCTCAAGAAGCTGACCAAATGCTTCACTGAGGCTACTTAGAATCAAAACACATTGATACAAGTACATAGCCAATATTTATAACGTCAACTACAAAAATGATACACCCATAAAGATAGCATAATCACAATCAGAAAATCATAACCTTTCCATAGACACCTTACACGGCAACCTTTGTGAAATATTTGCTGCAAATATATAGCAGTGTTTGCAACAATGATCTATACGTCACAGTTTATGTCAATAACATCACAGCCTTTACTTCCTAGGTGCTGGATCAAGGGGTGTCCTCTTTGCCTTCTAGAAATACCCCCCAAATTCATTGTCTTCACTCAGACACAGGAAACCTCCCGTGGCTTGTTTCTTTTTCTTTGTGCTCCTTTCCCGTGGACTTCACATCTCTTTGTTAACATTTGACTTTATATCCAAACAGGCATCCATTAAAAATACAAAGCTTACTGTGCCTATTTTAAATCCCGACCAAGAGAGAGACATTTCTGGAGGAAAACCTGGTTTTTCTCCCGTGCTAGTGACTAATACTTTGATACAGACTTTAACCATGTATTTTCAGGATACATACATAGCTCTTTACACAGTATCTTTCAGAGTCAAGTTACACTGTTTGTCTTGAGATGCTTCCCGCCCTGTCACCAATGCCTGGGAACGTGTACCAGAGTCAATTTCTAATTCTCATTATTATTTTTATTATGCACTTAGCTTCCCCGGATTAATTACACAGAGTAGCAGAGAACATTGCTTCTCCATTTTCTCTCCTCTTGCACATCGTGGCTTTTTTCATATTTAATTACAGTCCTGCCTTTGATTACTTTAGCTAAGGGAAAAAAAACCTTTTCAAATTGCTAATTTCTCCTCCCTGGGAATTTGCAACCTGACTCATCCGCACATTGAATCTAACTTAACTTAATCCAATTTAACTTTTGCTGATATGGATTCTTCTGCTTTGTTTTCATGTAGCTTTCCCCTGCCCTTCCCCACAACAAACTAATTAATTTCAGCACATGGCTGCCCCTTATTAGTCACAGATTGGAGCACAGGGCCTTCGCTGGCTGACATGTTTGTTTGCTTTTATTCATGTGCGTTGCAATACTTTCCTAGAGTGGGTAGCGCCAGATTGATAGCCCGGGGGCCCCCCCCCCCCTCGTGGGGGGGCGCGGCCCTCCCCCCCCCCGCCCTCTCCCCCCCCTCCCCCCCTCCCACAACAACAAAAACCCCCATACTACTTACACACCATGCGATGCTACCCCCCCCCCCAGAGTTTGTTCCCGCCCTTGTTGGTGTGCTCCTTACCCCTGTTTTGTTTCTCGCCCCCCCCCCCCCCCATCCCTTAGCTTATTTTTTTGTTGGGGGGGGGGGGGGTGGATGGAATTCATCTCACTGTTCAACTTGACTATTTTTCGAATTTTCCCCTACATCCTAAAACTCCCCTTTTTTTTGGTTTTTTGATAAATAAAAAACACAAAAAACCAAAAAAGGAGCCCCCTGTGGATGGGCCTGGTTGGGGCCCGTCCCCCCCCCCAGATCGGTCAGTTGGATTGTTTGGTCTGCCCTGGCTCCGCCTCGCCTTAGGGCCCCCCCTCCTGGCCCTGCCCCGGTGTGACGATGTGACTCAGCAGGGAGGGGGAGTGTTGACCTGGTGAATGTGCCCTGGGGATGGGAGACCTGAGAGCCTGTCACCTGAGCCAGGAGGGGGAGGGGGAGGTAACACCTCTGCCCAGGAATGTGAACAGAGGCTGCAGCAGGGAACCTGCGGGGTGAGTTTAGTTGGCAGTTTGGGAGGCTGGGGAGAGGAACACAGGGAACCCCAGGGCTGGGGTCTAAGCTCCCTGCTCCCCCAGAAGGACGTGATTGAGGGGTCCTGGTTGTACCCACAAGCTCTGTTGTGGACTGTGTTCCTGTTGTCCAATAAACCTTCTGTTTTACTGGCTGGCTGAGAGTCTCAGTGGATCCCAGGAAGAGGGGTGCAGGGCCTGGACTCCCCCACACTCCGCGACAGGGACGGGGGGCCCCCCGGGGGGGGGGGGGGGGGGGGGGGGGGGGGGGGGGGGGGGGGGGGGGGGGGGGGGGGGGGGGGGGGGGGGGGGGGGGGGGGGGGGGGGGGGGGGGGGGGGGGGGGGGGGGGGGGGGGGTCTCTCTGGGCTGGGTCCCTAAGCCCTCCTCCCAATCCAGCCTGCTTGTCCTCACTGTCCTGGCATGGCACAGATCGGTCCTGCCTACATCTCACACCTCGTTTCTTCCCATGCTCCTGCTATGCTGCCCTCCTTTAGTGTCCTGCCCCTGCCTTTATCCCCAGCAGTGCTTTGTTAGGAGTGAAATAAGGAAGGTGCAACAGATTTACAGAGGAGACTAGGCAGCGTTTGGGTGCAGCATGTTAACCCGTGGAACCTGCTGCCACAGAGTACCAATGAGACAATCATAGGAGCCAAACAATCTGCCTGGGTCCAGGGTTCTCTAGGGCTCCCTAGGCTAGCAGAGAAGGTGTGGCCGTTTAACAGTGATTAACCCCTGGAACAAATTCCCAAGGGAAGGGGTGGATTTTCCGTCTCTTGACGCCTTCAGAGTCACACTGGCTGCCTTTCTGGGAGATGCTTTAGTCCGGCCCAAGTGACTGGGCTCAAGCCAGAGGTAACTGGGTGAAATTCTCTGGCCTGTGTTGCACAGGAGGTCAGATGAGAGGATCTACTGGTCCGTCTGGCCTTGGGATTGACGGACGATGATTTGACGGTGTTATAATGAGGAGGGCACAACGGATCAGCTGCTGGGGTCAGGGAGAAAGCCTTCCCGCTGCACCCGTGTGGTGTTGTCTAGCAGGTGCATATCGAGGACTGTTGTCCCAGGGCCTGATTCAAAGCCCGCTACGGCCAGCAGGAGTGTTTCCTCCCTTTAGAGCAGGCCTGCAGAAGGGATACCAGGCCTGGATGGACTCTCGTTCTGCTATGGCCAAACCGTTCCCCGCTAACCCTGCATTCTGCGGAGCTGGGAGTGCGATTGGCTCATCTCTGCTGCTGGGAGGAGAGCAGCTGTCCAGTGAACGGGCTTAGTTGGTTCGTTCGGCAATGGGACTTGATCCTCACAACGAGTGATTTCTCTTTGGGCCCAGCGCATTCCACCTGCGCTCGCTGCTCCCAGTGTTGCGCGAGTGGGAGGGTCACGTTTATGAAGTGTGTTTTGTCACCCGGCTTCCTAATTCCCATTGGCAGAGAGGAACCTTTTCTCTACTCCGGAGGCCACCCCTTTATTCACTTTGGTCCCCATCCTCAAGATATTTAGGCACCTCGCTGTCACTGAAATATCAATGGGAGATGGGCACCTAAATACCTTTGAGGATCTGGGCTTTCCTGCTTAGTCCTTATGCACCCCACTGTTCAGTGTGGATTACATGTCCCCCTTGCGGCTGGGTCCACAGAGAGTATAACTCTGCTACGGGTCCCTCCTAAGGGCTTACAGTCCTTTGGCTCAAGCATTAGCCTCTCATGGTTCTTGCTCGGGAGGTCCCAAGTTCAGTCCTTGATGATGACCAAGATGATGGTTGGTGCAAGCTCTCTTGGGTTTCCGTGGTAGCTTTGGCCTGGTGTGTGTTTAACCGTCAGTAAAGTTAGTGAGAGCAAGGAGAGGGTAAACACCCTAGAGCTCATGAGGGTCATGTAGAGGGAAGTTTTCCTTGAATATTTGCTATAAAGTGAATTGGGCATGTAAATCGCAGTGCCTCTGTCACAGGCTGTCCAGCCGGTTGGATCAAGGAGCCTCGCATAATGGCGGGTCAGGCAGAATTGGCAGAACCCTGGGACACTCACGATGGGAGCTGCCTCTGGAGGGCAGTCATCCTCCGTTTGGTATGTGGCAGACAGCCCATGCCCCAAAGAAACGTGCTTGAATTCACAGCCAAGAAAGAGGTGAGCCATAGTCTCCCAGACGAGCTACTGCAGAGAAACGCCTCTCGATGCACTCACCAGTGAGTACATGGCTGGGTGTCAAAGGCTCCTTGGTTCTAATCGCAGCTCTGACTTGTGAGACCTCTGGCAAGTCACTGAAGCCCAGATCCTCAAAAGTATTTAGGCTCCTAACTTCTAAAGAAATCAATGGGATTTAGGCACCTAAATACCACTGAAGATCTGGGCCTTAAAACTCCCTGTGCTTCAGTTTCCCAGTCTGCAAAGTGAGGATAATACTGCCCGTCCTCACAGGTTCTGAGGCCTAATGCTTGTAAAGTCCTTTTGGATCTCTAGAGCTGGTTCTGGTGTAGTGGAGAGAGCTGGACCAAAGGGGAATGAGAGCTGGATCAGAGACGGGGCCCCATGCAGGAGAGAGGGGGCATGACTGAGATGGATGGAGATGGTGTGTGAGGCTGGTGGGGAACAGGCAGACCTGGACTTTCATAATCTGTAGGACGGGATGTTGTGGGACACCAGGGAATTGTGTTTACGGGACACACCTGAGATTCTCCCCGCCGGACCCAATGCAAGGGAGACCAGTTCGTGCTCTGAGTTTCCCTCCTAATTCTGCCTGTCTTCTCTTTCAGATGGCGTTGTGTTGGTTGATCCGGAGTACTTAAAAGAAAGGAAAGGTAAATGTTTTGCCATTTGGTTCCAGCTGACTGCCGTGTTTAACTGGGGCTTCAAAACCCACATGGGGGAAAGCAGCCTCTCCCCTGTTCTGCCAGGGCATCCTAATGCGCTTTTCCAGTCCCCTTCTCCAAGCCCATAGGTTACACTGACCAGCAAGGAACAGGAGCCCCACTGAAAACATGCTGGCTTTATACGGCAACAGAAAAGCACAGCCATGGCTCCTACATATCGCTGGGGGTGCATGTAGATCAGTTATCTGCTGCGCCAAAGTGGGCCAGGGACCTCCTGACAGCACGGAGAGCACCCGGTGCGCAGGGCTCATTCGGGATTAGCAGCCATGTTCAGCACCTCTACTGGAAGAAGTCACACAGAGAATCTCAGCCTAGCAGAATAGGCGGGAGGGGGGGATTGCCTCCAACTAACCACATCTCCGAAAGGCCCCACGTGGCGATGGCAGGAAACCTCAAGACTAAAATTCTGTTCTCTTAAGGGGTCTTGACTGTGAAGACTGGCGAGTACAAAGCATTTCATTCAGCTGGAAAACTGCGCCCTGGGTCATAGAGAAAGAAGGCGGCTGCTTTGGTTTTTAAGGCACTTGACTAGAACTCAGGGGAGAGCTGGATTGAGTCCCAAGTCTGCCAGGGACTTCCCCTGTGCCCCTGTGCAACCTCACACTTTCCTGTCTGTGAAACGGGGGTGTGCGACAGGGCACACTTACCCTTGGAGCACCCCCTTGTGTCTGTGTGTGTAATGTCACTGGTGTCCTTGGCCCTAGCGCCTCCTACAGGCTGCCTGCCTTTCACTGGGTCTTCTGGGGCTCAGCCCTCTGGCCAAGTCACAACGTTCAGGGTAACTAAAAGGTCCAAATGAAAACCAAATTATCCTTCCACTCCCTGGGGATATGGAAGTAGTTCTGTGTCCACTTCCCAGTCCCGTCTCAAAGCTCCCTCCCACAGCAGCCTACCCTGCTCCCTGGGGTTTCTTTATGTAGGAGCGTCCTGCCTTGTCTGCTGTCTCCGCCTGGATCTTGCTATCTTTCCAGGGCCTGCTGCAGGATTCATACTGTCCTTGCAGCCTGCCTCGGTCTGCCTGCCCCAGGCCTGTCCCAGAGAGAGGGAGCTCTCCACCCCATCTCTCCTGGGTCTTCTCCTTTCACCTGTGTCTGAGTAGTCCTCTGCGGCTGGGGTCAGTCACTCTAACTCCATTATGAACTGCCCCTAGGCTGGGGGCAAGGCTGATGGGTAGCTGCTCAGTCATAGGCCAGGTTTGCCTGCAAGGACCTGCCAGGCTGCGACAGGGTATCACAGGTTGGCTGGCCGTTTAAGGGTAGTTGGGCTCAGCCCTACGTGTACCAGATTAGCACCCACTCTTCTCCCAGGTGGGGTGATTTCTTTAAATGGGATAAGAAAACTCAGAGTAGAGGAGGAACCTCAGGCAGCAAGTTGGGTGCCTTTGGAAGACCCTGAAACAGGGTCTTGCGGGGGGCAGGGGGTGACTCAAGGGAGGTAGCCCGGGAGTTAGCACTCTGTCCCAGAGCACAGAAATGCAAAGGTAGCCCAGAATGGGCTGGGAGCTCAGCCCAAAGCGAGGGCTGAAGAACCCAAGTGGATCAAAAGAACTTCTTGTTTGTTTGGACATTTGCTACCCAAAAGGGAACTGAACTTGGAGAGCTGAGCCATATGAACCCCACAGGAGAGACAGAAAGACTTTTGGAGGAGGAAACTGAGGCAGGGAGTGCCTGCAGCACCACATTCAGCCAGCAGGGGGTGCTACAGGGCAAGGGAGGGTATTTCCTTTTAACCCCGTCTTAGCTTGCGAGCGCTCTGCATTGGGGACTGTCTCTTACTACGTGCGTGCGACGCCTAGCACTAGTCTGTTCTGTTCAGGTTTTTATGCAGCGCGCCCGTCCCCGAGCACAGTGACTAGCCCCTGTGCTTTGTACTTTCTCCCTTTGTTTTCCCGGATTGTGCGGGGTCCTTTTCGTATTGTATGGAAGCTGTGCTCGGGGCTTTTGTGGGCAAGAGGCCAGGCTGACGCAGCGCCCTCCATCCCAGTTCAGCTCTCTAGGCATGACTGTAATGGAAACACTAATTGTGCTGGAACAGAGATACCGAGCACACAGATAGAGACAGTCCCTGCTCTGCAATCTACGAGAGACAAGAGCAGCAGAAGGATGGGGATCTAATGTCCAAGCTAATGAACAAGGCGATGTTGGCCCAGCTTTGCTAGCAATGTGCTGGAGCGGGGAAGAGACTGATCTAGGTTCAGCTCTAAAACAATTTGGAGGAGGGGTTGAAATCATTCAGAACCCTCCTGCCCCCACCGTCACCCGCACTCCAGAGGTGGCAGGAGAGGCTGTTATTTAGGCCTTCGGACCTTGCTGCAGGCGGCAGGGCCAGTGAGACTGGAGTCCACATGGAGCCAGCCGCCCAGATCTGGGTCCCATACCCCTAGTCCGAGTTCTTTCTCCTGGGGCTTTGGTTTGATCGTTTCGTTTTCTGTGTGTGACTGTGGTACTGTGAGACATCGACGGAAGCAAATGCCCCTCCACTCGTGTCATTAAATCCAGGTTCCCACCCCCGTGTCTCGACTGCCAGCTTCGTCTGTTCCTCTCCCCCCCCCTGCACACACATGAAAGTGCATCTGCACGTGAATCTTTCATCAAACCCACGAAAACCTGCCATGTTAGCGGCTGCCCGTGGCCCTGACCCTCCTCTGTTACACCAGTGGGAATCAGGAGACCCTCCTTCCTCATTTATGGGCCTGCTCTTGTGGCTAGGCCAGTGGAGTAGGAGGCAGGAGATCTAAGATCAGATGCCAGGTTTGCCACACGTTGCCTGTGGGAACTTGGGCAGAGCACTTTGTCTGTCGGTCGCCTGATGCTGACGGTGGTGAGAGGATTGGTGCTGATCTCTCCCGTTTGATACCTTCTGTCCCCGCAGTCTTTGTCACGCTGACTTGCGCCTTCCGCTATGGACGGGAGGATCTGGACGTGCTGGGACTGACCTTTCGGAAGGACCTGTTTGTGGCCAACATCCAGGCCTTCCCCCCGGTCCCTGAGGAGAAGAAACCCCTGACGCGACTCCAGGAGCGACTGATTAAGAAGCTCGGCGAGCATGCCTACCCCTTCACTTTCGAGGTAGGAGTTCCTCCCATTTCATTGTCCTTTGTCCCCCTTTGTCTCTCCTGCCCCTTGGGCGGCGCCTTCGTCCCAAACCAAGGCAGGGCTGGACCAGATCGGAACGTGGATGAGATGTCTCCATGGAAACTCCGGATCACTGCAGGAAGTGATCCTGGCAACACAGTAGGTGGTGCTTTGCCACCTGTGCTGGGCGGAAAAAAGGGACCACAAGTTTCACCCACAATGTGCTAGGAGCTGCACATATACAGGGAAGGTGCAAACTCCTCCCATCAAAGGGCCCGATCCAGCAACAATTGGCCCTGGTCCATTAAGAGCTGCTCACGCAGTCTAAGAACAACGGCTGTATTGAGCCCATACAGGTCTCTGCAGGAGGTCAGGCTAGATGATCCCAGTGCTCCTGTCTGGCCTTGGCCTCTACAAATCTATATTTACATTTTGGACTTTAAATTCTCCCAATAGGATTCAGGATTCGTTTTCCCGCCGTGTCCCAGGCTGCTGGGCAGGGTTGCTGTGTGCTGTTTAAAAGCTGTTGCTTTCCACCCCTGGGGTGCCTGCGTTTAGATGATAGGGTGACGTGATCCCTTGATAATGCAGTTTTTTGTCTAAGTTTATGGAGCGCTTGGCTGAGAGCCCCTCTCTGACTGTCCATCATTATTCTCAGCTCAGCGGTTTCAGACAGGTCCTCTGCACTGGGCTGCAATTGCTCTGAGCGAAATGAGCTCTCCCTGGGGTCGGGAATGCAAAAAGGAGCAGCTTGCTGGCTGGCTGGAAAATGTGGTCTAAAATTAGAGAAGCAAAGTGGCCTTCCCTGCGACTTCCCATACTGATTAAAGAGTAACCGACGAAAAGAAAAAATGTCCAATTATAACGGAGTGGTCTAACATCTGCTCCTGTTGCACCCACTACCTCCCCCGAGCCTGGGCAGGCACTTGGCTATACTGGTCTGAGCATCACAAGATCTGTCTCTATTCCTGCCTCTCCGCTGACCTGCTGGGTGACCACGGGCACGTCACATTGCCCCTCTATGCCTCGGTTTCCCCTCCCATCCTTTGCCTATTTAGACAGCTCTTTGGGGCAGGGCGTATTTCTCACTGCACGTATATACAGCACGTAGCACAACGGGGCCCAGATTTTGTCAGTAATAAAAACAATAAGCCTTTTCCTGGAGATCCCTGGGCATTCCTGGTTTGAGTCAGATTGAAATCACACACAGAAGAGCCTTTTCTGACTTACATCTTTTGAGAAAGAATCACGCTAGAATAGCATTTCGGCAATACTGCCCAGTTATAAATGTTACACAGAGCCCAGGGCCACGCACGGGGCAATTACACATTGCAGCTAATACCCCACCCACAAGTCATTCACAGGTAAATGGTGCTTTAAGCGTTCTCACTCGCGGATTTGACAAGAAAATGAGGCCTAAATGCATGCCAGGCCGCAAATCTCCTAGATTTCTCAGGTTCTGGATTTATATACTCTGTTTGCCCCTCTACCCTTTGACCAGCCCAAGCGCTAATAGGCTGGATAACAGATGATAGCCCAAATTGAAGAGCTTTCAACTGGAGCAAGTCCCAGGCACCAGACTAGGGGCAAAAATAAAGAAATAAATAACCTCCGTGCGCTATTAAAGCCCCACCCACAATCCCATGTTCCACCCACCACCCCAGAACAGCTACACGTTTCTGCTTTACCAGCAGCAGGGAGATAGTTAACAGTGTTTATATTGTGCTCATTTTGCATCAGAGCAAATGCCCCATTTGTAGTTCATGCCAGTCGTCAGAGCTGCGGTTGCAGGCTCTCTGCAGATTCAGGAAGGCAGCGCTGCAGTGGGCCACATAGGGAAAGCTTTCTTTGCAACCCTTAGAGCTAGGAACTGTTTGCAACATACATTTTTAAATTCCGCAGTCACTGATGGGACCTTAACAATACCCTGCCTCACATTGGCTCAATGCATCTAGTCTAGCCCAAGATTGTTTCCTACTGCATATTCTCCAGTGCTATGTTCAGTCTAGCTCACAATTACTCAACTGGTGAGGTTTCTGCCTCTTCCATGGGGAAACTATTCCACAGTCAAATAGATCTCACAGCTTCCAGTAACCACACAGACATCCCATTAGAGCCACTAAAACATGCACTGGTCTGAGAATCCTGCAAACACAACAGAGGAGAGGGCAGTCAGGGAAACTTTAATGTAACCAGCAGCCTCTTCTGCTCCCTGAACCAGGGGATAAGGAGGCTGTGGGGTGCCACTGAATCAGGGGTGGGCAAACTTTTTGGCCCAAGGGCCACATCGGGGAATAGAAATTTTCTGGTGGGCCATGAATGCTCACAGAATTGGGGTTGGGGTGCAGGATGGGGTGCAGGCTCTGGGTGGGGCCAGAAATGAGGAGTTCAGGGTATGGGAGGGAGCTCTGGGCTGGGGCAGGGGATTGAGGGGGTGTGGTGGGGGTGAGAGCTCTGGCTGGGGGTGTGGGCTCTGGGATGGGGCTGGGGATGAGGAGTTTGGGATGTCGGAGGGGGCTCCAGGCTGGGACTGAGAGGTTCGGAGGGCGGGAGGGGGATCTGGGCTGGGTCAGGGGGTTGGTGGGGTTGCGGGGGGGGGGGGGGGTGAGGGCTCTGGGGTGGGGCTGGGGATGAGGGGTTTGGAGTGCCGGAGGGGGTTCTGGGCGGGGATCGAGGGGTTCGGAGGGCGGGAGGTGGATCAGGGCTGGGGCAGGGGGTTGGGGCGTGCGGAGAGGCTCAGGGGTGCAGGCTCCAGGTGGTGCTTACCTCAAGCGACTCCCAGAAGCAGTGGCATGTCCCTTCTTTTGAAGAGCGAGAGGGGGCCATTGGAGTGCGTAGGAGCCTGAGCGGGGCCATGCCGCTGCTTCTGGGAGCCGCGTGGTACGGCCCCCGACCCTGCATCCCGGCTGGAGCTCCGGGGCGGGGCAAGCCCCAGACCCCGCTCCCCAGCAGGAGCTCGCGGGCTGGCTTAAAGTGGTTTGCCCACCCTTGCATTAAATGCTACAGATTGTAATAGCCGGTGGAATAGGAGAGAAAGCCGTGCTTAGGTACCACAGTGATATAGACTGCGTAAAGGGAAAGGGCTTGTTCTAAGGGTGGATTATTGTTTGTATCACCATAGTGCCAAGGAGACTCAGTCATGGACGAGACCCAGCCATGGACCAGCCCCATGGGCGGCGGGCATCGTAGGCAAGGGGAGGCTGTGCCTCCCCAAACAGCCTACCGTGGCCCCGTTCCTCCTGCAGCCACTCGGGGCCCCCAGGGCAGCTGGTGCTGGGCCGAGCTGCCTGCCCGGTGCTCTGGGGCTGGCTGCGCGAGCACCGGCTCTGGGGGCGGCCTGGGGCTGGGTGCGGCAGCCACGCCCCCCGGGGGCTGCGGGCACTGCGGCTGTGGTGCGCCAGGGCTGCTGGGGCCTCACCCCCGGCCATCCAGCGCTAGGGCCAGGGTGCCGCGGTGGGGGTGTGTTGGGCTCCTGTGCAGGACGGGGGGGTAGAAGGGGGGACAGAAGGGAAGGGGAGGGGAGGGGCCTCCGGCACAAGGGGAGGGGCCGTGGGTTCGCCTCCCCGGGCGGCCGGGTATTGGTTGGCAGGATGAGCTGTGGTCTCTGCCCATCAGCAGCCTGACTGTCCTAGGCCTGCTGGCAAAGCGTGGTGAGGAGGACAGTGAAGTAGTGGTTTAAGATGGCAGGCTGTGCGCAGCCGGCGAGCACATTCGGCTCCACCCCGGCAGAGCAGGAAAGCAAAGCAGCAAGATTTCCCATGAGTGAAGCTGCCGCTAAGCTCCCCGGGATCACCAGATTTGTAAACACTCCCATGCCCTTGTAAAACAACGTTAATTCCTCTGCATCCCACAGATTAAAAATGTGTTTATACATTTGATAACCTCTTGGGTTTGGGATATTTAAAGGGCTGCTCGCTTTAAACTAGATCCTGAATTGAGGGGAGGGAGGGTTGTTTGTTTCTTTTTAAAAGTAGGGAGGGTTGCAAAGCCTAATCTGAACAGAAAGTTTTTGATGGTTTCTTCATTTCAGTGAAAATGGTTCCCACCCCACACCCTCCATTTAAACCTGACAATTCCCCATCTCATACTCTAGTACCTGAAAACCAATAAGTGAAACTGACTAGAAATTGACTAATAGTCATGAGGATGAGTTAGTTGTGTTACAGTAATGCCCAGAGCCCCAGTAGGAATAACATCCCCATTGTGCTGGGCACTGTGGTAACACTTTCAAAAGTGCCCAAGTGATTTAGGAGCCTAAATTCTATTGAAAGTCAACAGGACTTGTGCTCCTTAGTCACATAGGACCCTTAGAAAATGTTACCCTGGATCTATACAAGACAGTCCCTACTCCAATTGGCTATGGAATTAGTGAGCAAGGATAGGAAGGACAGCCCAGTGGTTAGAGTGCCAGACTTAGATTCAAGTCCCTGCTCTGCCACAGACTTCCTGTGCACACTTGGGCCAGTCCCTTAGCTTCTCTGTGCCTCAGTTTACCATCTGAACAATGGGGACAATGGCCCTGCCCTGCCTCCTAGGGAAGTGAGTGAGGATAAAAACATTAATGATTGTCAGGTGTTCAGACACAAGGGTGATAGGAGCCACGTAAGTACTGAGCACAGGAGGAGGTTAGGGTGAGGCGGAGCCTCTGTGATTTCAGGACTCTGCATGCTACAGAGAGAAGGCTGCCTCGACCTGGTTGGGGAGGTCAGTTCTTTCACCTTTTGCCACTGGTAATTTTGTTTCAGTTCAGCCTTAGTCACTCTAATTTTCTAGTCCCATTAAATTGTATCTAGAGAAGTGGGTTTGTCGTCAGACTTGTGGGAGAAGCTGCGGGAAGCATGTTTCACAGCATCTCATCAGGGATGGCTCAGCTTCATTCTTATCCGAGGGACTTGTAATCAGCAGCCCCAGAGGAAGACTCCTCGGATGCATCCGCGTCCCTGAGAAACCTGGGAGAAGTGATGCGCCGCGGAAGGGGGTGGCATGCGGGAATGTAGACAGGCGACAGGCTGGGGACCGAGAGGTGGCCCAGAACGCGACACAGACCATGACATGAAAAGATGCGGGGAGTGGACTGAGCTGTGGCAGGGAATGATGTGGCACAACAGGACGTGCCAACGGGACATAAAACGACGAGGTAGAAATGAGCTGGAACCGAGCAGAGGGGGATAAGTTCCAACCAACCAGGAGCCACCCTTCTCCTTTCTGTCCCTCACCCACTTACTGGCATCTCAGCAGCTCCCTTCAGGACCGTTCCCTGCACCCACTAAAGGCTGTCCATGTGAAGAGAGACACAAGATAACTATTTATATTATGCTAGCACCTGGAGGCCCAATCAAGCCCTCACTGTGCTGGGTGCTGTACACACACACACAAACACACACACACAAAGACTGCAGATGACACGAAGCTGGGAGGTATTGCCAATAGAGAGGGGGACCGGGATACCCTACAGGAAGATCGGGATGACCTTGTAAACTGGAGTAATAGCAATAGGATGAAATGTAATAGTGAGAAGTGTAAGGTCATGCATGTAGGGATTAATAACAAGAATTTTAGTTCTAAGCTGGGAACGCATCAGTTGGAAGTAACATAGGAGGAGAAGGACCTTGAAGCATTGGTTGATCACAGGACGACTATGAGCCGGCAATGTGATATGGCCGTGACAAAAGCTAATGCGGTCCTGGGATGCATCAGGCGAGGTATTTCCAGGAGAGATAAGGAGGGGTTAGTACCATTATACAAGGCACTGGTGAGACCTCATCTGGAACCCTCATCATACTGTGTGCAGTTCTGGTCTCCCATGTTTAAGAAGGATGAATTCAAACTGGAACAGGTACAGAGAAGGGCTACTAGGATGATCCGAGGAATGGAAAACCTGTCTTATGAAAGGAGACTCAAGGAGCTTGGCTTGTTTAGCCTAACCAAAAGAAGGTCGAGGGGAGATATGATTGCTCTTTATAAATATATCAGAGGGAAAAATACCAGGGAGGGAGAGGAATGATTTAAGCTCAGTACCAATGTGGACATAAGAACAAATGGATATGAACTGGCCATCAGGAAGTTTAGACTTGAAATTAGGTAAAGGTTTCCAACCATCTGAGGAGTGAAGTTCTGGAACAGCCTCCCAAGGGGAGCAGTGGGGGCAAAAGACCTATCTGGCTTCAAGACTAAGCTTGATAAGTTTATGGAAGGGATGATATGATGGGATAGCCTAATTTTGGAAATTAATTGATCTTCAACTATTAGCAGTAGATATACCCAATGGCCTGTGATGGGATGTTAGATGGGGTGGGATCTGAATTACTGCAGAGAATTCTTTCCTGGGTATCTGGCTGGTGAATCTTGCCCACATGCTCAGGGTTCAGCTGATTGCCATATTTGGGGTTAGGAAGGAATTTTCCTCCAGGGCAGATTGGCAGAGGCCCTAGGGGGGGTTTCGCCTCCCTCTTCGGCGTGGGGCACGGGTCACTTGTGGGAGGATTCTCTGCACCTTGAAGTCTTTAAACCACGATTTGAGGACTTCAGTAGCTCAGACATAGGTGAGAGGTTTATCACAGGAGTGGCTGGGTGAGATTCTGTGGCCTGCGTTGTGCAGAAGGTCAGACTGGATGATCATAATGGTCCCTTCTGACCTTAAAGTCTATGAGTCTATGAGACCGATTGGAAGCTCTTTGGGGCAGAGACGTTCTGTGTTTGTGCCGTGCCTGGCACAACGGGGTCCTGGCCCGTTGACTAGCCCCCTAGGTGCATGCGGACTACAAACAATAATAAGACCAGAGAGTAGAGCTGACAACAGAAAGACGGGGGAGCGCCAGGGAACAGAGACAGTTATGCTCAGTGTCATAATCAGGCACAGCACGCCAGCTGAATGGCTGCTGGCTGAGAGTTTTGTAGGAATCGCGGCGGAGGTGAGATTTGAAGGAGGACGTTGTGGTGACTTCCCCTTGGATACTGAAATCAGGTGGAAAGGGACGACTAGCACCTGCAGGCTCTCGGGAAGGGAGCTTGTGCTGCCTCTCAGCAGCAAACCTTCGAGCAGGGATGGTTTGTAGCGTGGTGCACTGGTCTGACAGCAGGGCCCTTGTTGTGACTGTCGGTGCAGCCGCTCGCTCTGTGCCCTGTGGGCGCTGGACTGGCATGGCAGGCAGGACTCCAGGGTTCTGCTCCTGGCTCTCACACCGATATCCGGGGTGACCGTGATCATTTAGAGACAGAATTTCAAAAGTGGCCTTTATGTTGGGGTGTCTCTGGTTGCCCCAGGCCTGATTTACGCTCACCTAAGCAGGCGTGGGGTAGGTCAGTACTTGGAGGGCAGGCCTGTGAGGAACATGCAGGGTGGTGCTGGTGAGTCAGTAGGGGGTGCTCTTCCCTCTGAGTCGCGGCAGGACCAGTGCCCCAGCGTGGCACTAGGGGGCGCTGTGCTTCGGAAGTCCTATCAGATGAGCCCCGGGCACTGAGGTCTTGCTATTCCTGATCATTAAATACCACATGGCATGTTTGGTAAGAGATTCGGCTCCAACTCCCTGGATAACGTCTACTCAGATAATTCGGTTCTGCCTGTCTACATTTCCCCCTCTCCCATCTGTGCTTTCCATTGGCTACAGCATTCTTCACGCAGCTGTTCTGCGTGTGCTGTGTTCCCCCTCCGAGGTGGCCGGATTTCAGCGGTGGGCGAGGTTCTCTCCCAGGGGTCTGGCTCGTGGGACTTGCTCACAGGCTCAAGGTCTAACTGAGCCCTATTTTTGGGGTCGGAAAAGAATGTCCCCCCAGGTCAGACGGGCAGAGACGCTGAGGGGTTTTCGCCTTCCTCGGCAGCTGGGGCATGGGTCACTTGCAGGTTTAAACTAGTGGAAATGGTGGAGTCTCTGGAGCGCGAAGGCTGCAGCCCATGATTTGAGGATGCCAGTAACTCAGCCAGAGGTTGTGGGTCTACTTACAGGAGCGGGTGGGATCTGGCCTGTTATGGTTAAATTGTGGATAATTGTGCCCTCTAGTGGCTGAGCCGTGGAGCTGCTTCTGTAGGTCCCAGTGCCTTGTCCGCTCATCTCAGCTGGGGCAAGGATCCGCTCCTCCCCTGGGACAGCCGTCGCAAACGGAGAAGGGCCTGCCGTGCTGGCGTCTGTCGCCCTTCAGCTGGCATTGCCCAGCACGCTCGTTACATGGGCCATGCAATTCAACTGCTGTTGCCGTGATGCTGTTTCATTAGCAGCCCCTAGGGGTGAGGGAGAGCTGGGCTTGGGGGATTTGAGGCTGTGGCCCCAAGGTCTCCAGCTCATGCAGAATGTTCACTGTGATGCCACCGGCCGTTAGCATGAGGAAGCCTGTCTGTGCCTGTCAGGGGTCAGCTCCTTAGCCCCACGGGCCATGGGCAACTCAATCCCTCCCCTCTAGGCCTACGCAGGGACAGGTGCACCCCAATCCCTGAGTCCTTCGAGCACCCCCTGGAGCATCCAGCCCCTGGTATGCTGATTCCAAAGAAGCAGGACACCCCCACTTACCAGTTCCTCCTCAGGTCCCTGCTCTGCTAACACCCAGCTCTTAGATAAGTTTACAGTGAAAACAAGGAAACACTTATTTACCAGTATAGAGACCCAAGTAACCACCAGTAGGAGTACTGGAAGCTCATCTTTATATCTACAATCAAATCATAACACTCCTCCTAGAGCCTAGTCTTACTTAACTACTGCTCGCCGGAGGTCCTTCCAGCCTTTCAGAGCTCTTCAGCTGTCATCTCCCATTCATGAGACAAGTCCATGCTGCCCGCTAGCCTCCTCAATGAAAGATTCAGGGCATGTCTCTGCATTCCCATAGATACTCCAGCAATCTGATGTCTTTACTCCTGAGCAGGATCCCCTCCTGCTGGTTGTTCTCCATGTAAATGCTCCGTCTTGAAGATTTCACAGTCTGTTCACGAGCGCTTGGCGCAGTATGCAAACAGGTGTCCGTTGTGAGACGTGCAATGCCCAATACACTTGTGACCACACAGGGAGGGAAGCGTCTGTTACTTCCTGGTTTCCTGCCTTCCTTTTCACTGGAGACACACAACTTCTAAATACACACATTTCACAGTGATTACCGTGACTCGTGGAGACGTCGCAAGCCACCTTTTAGTGAATTATACTGCATCTATCTGACCCAGGGGACCCTGTCAAACTCTTTGCACCCCCTGAGACTTTGTTAGCTGGCACCAAGAGGTCTCTGGGTCACAGTTCCTGCAAGCCGTGGGCTCGCCCATCACCCCTGGCTTAGCCACAGAACCGTTTGCACACTGAGGTGCAGTGAGAACCTGTGCAGGTCACTGGGGATAGCAGCAGGGCAGAAAGCAGCCCACTGGTATGTGTGTGGGGCTGCTCTGCAGAGGGCAGGGAAAGGAAACACTCGGAAGTTGCCAGGGCTCTCTAAGGAGCCATCTGACCCCAGCTTGCTGGGCCGGCTACAGCAACCCTCAGTAGCCGGGACATGGATGCAGGCCAGGTTGTCTCTTGCTTTCGACTCCAGTACTCCAAGGGGCTGAGCATCTCCTGGGAGATGCCAAGCACCTGCCCTCAGCTGGAGACGGGAGCGCACAACATCCTGCAGGAGGCCTCAGCACCTCCCAGGTTTGGGCCACTCAGAATGGGGGCCAAATTTCCCCCTGGTGTAACTCACCCTTCATGCCCCCAAATTCAACCCTGCTCCAACCTGGGACACTGAGACACCCTGGACGTGCAAGTTCAAGTAACCCCAGGAGGCCGGCTGAGCCCTTCATCCTTCCAAGGTAGATCACTAGAGTCCCAGGCTGCGGTATAGTGAGTGTGTGTGGAGCAGGCAGGTACCTGGTCTCTTCCGTGGGCTACCCCTGGTTACAATCCAACCCTGCCCTTGATTTCTGTTTCAGATCCCTCCCAACCTGCCATGTTCCGTCACGCTGCAGCCTGGACCGGAGGACACGGGGAAGGTAACTTTGTTTGTGTCCTCTCTGTCGGTCAGTAGCTCCCAGCTTCTCCCCGTCTCCGCAGAGACATTGCGATAGCTAAGCCGGACTCCTCCGATCCCGGGGGTCTCTCCAGAAGGCCTGGGCTGGCTCAGACGTTCTAAGTGCCCCAGCAATGGGCGGCAGCGTCTCGGAGCGATGGCGCTGTCTCGCGCCACTCGGAGCTCTTCAGGTGTCTGAAGAGCATGGAGCGAATTCTATCTAGCTTCCAGGGGATAATGAGGTGGCCTTAAAGAGGCGGCTCTCTTCTGAAAAGGGGCTGTAAGCCAAAGGCAAAGGGGGGGCTCCTTATTTATTGTGTCTCAGTCCTTTCCAGACCAGCTTCAAACAAAAAGATTTCTGCGAAGGGACTGTCAGTACTGGGAGTATCATCCTGGCCCAGCTCCGCTGGTGGAACAATGTTGAAGTCGCTACATAGTACAGAGATCCCCAGTGCTGCCATCCCTGCCAGCTCCCCCGGGATCTGAGAGTCAAGCTGGGTTCCTCCCTTCTTATGCTTCATAACCAAATAAATGGTCCACAGGCCAAAAGACACCCTTAATTACCCCACATGAGCCCATTGCTTTCCATGGACTTGCAGAATGGCCCTGTAAATGGAGGACTGTGAACAATTCTGTTAATGCCCCAAAAGAAACAAACTCCAGCTTCCTCTCCCAGAGTCCTGCTTGGTCTGCAAGGCTAAAGGGGGCCCAGACTTATTGTGGCCACTAAAGCCAGCAGCTCTGGCTCTGACACGCACAACAGGTGGATCTGCTGAGCAAGGAGGGTCAATTTCGACAAGAACAGCCCCTGGCAACCCGAGGTTGTCCGGTCTCTGCATGCATATTAATGAGCCCACAGTAATAAACTCCATTTCACTTAGCACGGTAGCATTCGCCCCATTGTCTGTACTCCAGTTTTCACCTTCCACCAGCCTGATTTTCAGGTGCTTCTTGTCTGGCACCCTCCATGGCAGGTGGCAAAGAGTGGCAGGAATTCTTCTACCCTGGGGGAAAGTCGAGTTTTCTCCACTCGCTCACCATTGCAAACCAGCTATGGGGATTCTGCTCCAATTCCCCCACATTCCTCCCTCCCGAAAAATGACCCTTTACACTGAGACCAGAGCCTAAACATGTCAGCCCAGAGGATGAGCTTTGTGGAAGGGTAGGAGCATGTGGAAATGGGAATTGGTTACTTGATCTTAGCGATCGCTATGAGACCACAGCTCAGATGGAGACGTTATAATACCTAGTATTCATAGGTGGGATAACTGCTTGGAACTTCGTGATAATACTCAGGCTAGAACTCAGATCCTTTTGTTTGAAAGGCCCAGACACCCCTGCCACATGCGCTAAAGGAGAATCTCCACTGGCAGTATGGGGGCTATGATACAGTTGAGTATTTCTGAGGCCTTCAAATAGAGGATAGTGGTGCATGCAACCGGTCCAGGAGCGCAGAGTGGCACACACACACGCTCCAGCTGGCACCTTACCGCGTACAGACATGTCAAAGCCGTTAGACCCCGCTGGGGAGATAAGGAAGGGCCAGGAGACATGATTTCCCAGCTTCCTACCCCACTTTGTTCTGCTCTGTAGGCCTGTGGCGTTGACTACGAGGTGAAAGCTTTCTGTGCGGAGAACCTGGAGGAGAAAATCCACAAGAGGTAAACGGAGCGATGTTTGTATTGACGCCACCCGGCGGCACTGGGGAGAGGACACAGAGCCAGGGGACGGAGTGGTTCAGCCAACTGAGAACAGGCCTCAGAAATCAGCTCTTGGGGAAGTCGGTGCTGCGGCCCTGACGGAGCAGCAGAGCTGTTGCCGGCTGTGTCCCCCAGCTGGGGCGAGGAGCGAAGTTCCCACCCTAGTCTGGCCTGCTCCTCCCGGAGCTGGGGTCTGGATCCCAACCGCCCACATGGCAGCATGGGCCCCAGCTGCGTTCGTTCGCCATGCCAGGCCCTGGTCTGTAACGCTGGGGCGGCTGGTTCCCATTCATCCGCAGGGCATCCCGACGCTCGCGGATGGGCAGGGACTGGGAACGTTTGCCCCCTCCGCTGAACAGCCGTGGGAGGCTAACTCCGTCATCCCCTCGAGCATCTCCTGTCCCCCACCCAGCAACGGGCAGCAGCAGTGCACTTTAACCGTAGCTTCTGCAGGAGCTCCTCAGCCTGCAGGGAGCACAGAGGGTCTCTGGGTGTGCCCTGCTCTGGGGTAGCATCTAGCCCCTCCGAGGTCTCCTGGAGGGGCATGCTGCATGCAGGTGGGGGCAGGGCCCTGCACTAACCCCTCGCGGCCCTTGTTGGATCGCCCAGTGGATCGCTAGCCCGGAGATTACTCCCACTGACAATCAGGGAGCACAGCGCTTGGGGCCAGGTGGGGATGGTTCGTGGACCCTCGTGGAAGTGCTAGTCAGAGAGCTCCTGTTAGGGGTATGGTGGGGACGGAGCAGATGCACTGAGGGAGAACAGCCGGTGAGTTTCAGCACTGGCATCCCACCGGGCGGCACGGAAGCTGTGCCCACCTCGGAAGCATGACTGGCTTCACAGGCTCCCCCGCACCCTGCGTCAGAGAGTCATTAAGCTCAGGTAGTACCTGCCCAGGCCTCCCTCTCCAGAGGTTCTAGGCTCTGGTCCCCACTTGTGGCATGGTGTGTCTGTTAGGCTGCCAGACAGATCAGTTTTATCCTCTTTGTTATATAGATGGGGAAACTGAGGTACCTGGGGGGGGTGGGTTGGCACATGTCAGTAATAGTGGGTGCCAACCCACCGTAGTGCATAGGAATTGGGTAGTATTTAAATACTTTGAGCACCCTCTAGTGGGCCTCACTATTGCAGAAGCCACCAGAGCCAATGGGGATGTAGCTAGCTTTGGGTGTTTGTACGTTCATTAACAGGCTGATCTGAAAGCCTGCTGTGTCCCTATGGTTTCCTCATGCTCGTAATTAGGCTTGGCAGAATTCGATTTTTAATTTTTTCCAATTTGGATGGATATTACTGGTGTTTCTTTCCAAGCATTTTTCCCGATTTTGATCTATTTAAATTCTCACAGTTACAGGAAATTCTGGGGGCTCAGACAATAGTTATGTGATGCCAACAGATGCCGCGATTCCAAAAAGATCACGCGTTAGGCATATTAAAACCCAAATCGTGTCTAAAACTCGAGGGTCTCCAGCAGCCTTTCTCTTTCTTTGCCTAGCTGTAAGTTTTGATTGTTGCCAACTGGAAATCTTTTCGTGTTAGTTTGTGTGTGTCCAGTGAAATTGACAGATAAAAATCGAATCCTTCCAAGCCAGCTGCTAATGTGTGAAAAGCAAAGACACAGGCCCCTTCCCCTCCCATCCCACTCTCGGTGAGGTTGGGCCCAGGTTAGCTGCTGTGACAGGTCCCAGGGTAGTCTGGGTGAACTGATCCTCGCTCGAGCCAACGCTGAACCCAGCTCAGTGGCTCATGGCTCCTAGGGGCTTCCAGCAGCCTGCTGCTCTCAGGGAACAGCGGAGAAGCACCCCCCTTTCCAAGGTGCCTGACAGCGGGAAGGAAACGGGGCGTTCTCTGACTCCACACAGGCTTGGCCCTGGGTGAGAAAGCCAGGTGCACCATCTGGTGGCCAAAGGCGGAGCGACTTGCACATAGACCTCGGAGGCTCTCCTGAGGCACCGTTTCCTACACTGGGGGAGATGCCACTGGCCCTTTTCAATGGGACCGTCTTGGTGTTTCTGGGCGTGTCGTGACAGGGAACCTCGTATTTCATTCGCCCCGAGCAAGGTCCTGATGTGCTGTGACCTGAGACAAGCCAAAAGACTGAGTTGCCTAGTGGTTAGAGCTGGAGTGTGGGTGCCAGGATGCCTGGGTTCTGTCCTTAGCACTGCCTCTAAAAAGTCACTTCACTTCTCTCCCTGTGACTGGATAAAGGCAGGATCCATGGAGCCAGCCTGGGCTGGGAAGGGGCTCGTGGAGCCCTGAGGCACTGCCAGGAAAGAGGGGAGTGGGAGAGGGAGATGGGGGGGCCCTTTGATTTCTTGGTGCCATGGCAGGACTGGATCAGGCCCCATGTCATTCTAATCCCACCCCTGGCTCTCGGTCTCAGTCCCTCCCTCAGGAAGAGGTGGTTAAAATGCTTCCCCCTCCCCTCCCCAGAGGGTGGATGGCAGGGTTAATTGGTCTATCCGAGTTTGGGGTGCCAGGGAAGCCTGCTGGCACCCCAGGGCAGATCCCCGCAGGCTCGGGCTCAGCCTCTGCCTCCATATGTCCCGGCAGAAATTCCGTGCGCCTGGTGATCCGCAAAGTGCAGTACGCGCCGGAGAGACCGGGCCCGCAGCCCATGGCGGAGACCACCAGGCAGTTCCTGATGTCTGACAAGCCGCTGCATCTGGAGGCATCCCTGGACAAGGAGGTACGACAACCCCCTGCTTCTCCCTGGGGCTGCTGTGTCGCTCGGCCCCGTGGGGCCCTCACGCCGGTGCCTAACGGCTGCCCTGGGCCCTTAGAGCGAGGAGCAGGTCCCAAGGGAAATACCGGGGAAATAGCCTGGTGCCCAAATTCACAGCAGGTGCAAACGGGTTCCACACCATGGAAGGCCTCATGCCCCCTGCATTTAACTCAGCACCGAGTGCAGCCCTGGGATGGGGGCCTGGTGAACCGACACTGCAAAGGGTTGGCAGAGACCCCGGCTGTTTGATCCCCACACAGCTCTCGCTGGGGGGAGACCTTCTGTGGGTTGTTGTTAATAAACTTTGGTATGAGGGTAGCCCCCCAAGCCACCCCCTGATTGGGGGGGGGTGCCCTGACCTGCACAGCCAGGAAGCCCCCTCCCACCTGCCTGCTGCTGACAGAGGCCGGGGCCCTTGTTCCTGCAGATTTACTATCATGGTGAGCCAATCAACGTCAACGTCCACGTGACAAACAACACAAACAAGACGGTGAAGAAGATTAAAATCTCAGGTAAAGGGGGCGCCCGCGTTCCCTGGATCCATCACGCAGAATGGCAGGAGGGGACTGTCACAAGCTGTCGCAGCTGGGCCAACCCTTCCATTGGGGTCCCTGTAAACCCTCTCCCCAGCCTTCCCTGACCCCCAGCAGCTGCCCTGACTCTCCCCCACATGCTGAATCCCCTTCCCACGCCCTCAACTGCCTGACTTCCAGCATCGCCTCCCCCATCCAGCCCCTGCTGGAGCCCTTCCTCCATTATCTATCCCAAGACATCCTCTCCCAACCTGCCTCGCCTCCTGGCTGGCTCTTTTCCCGCACCCCCAAAGATCTGCTCCCACTCGACTCCCCTGGCACGCTCTGGGAGCATCCAGCCATCTGCCTAAGGGCAGAGTCTGGCTGGGTGATCCTTACACGGCTGAGAGCAGTGGTGGGCCAGGGAGCCAAGACCACCTCTATTCCCAGCTGTACCACAGACTGCCCGGGTGGCCCCGGCTGAGTCACTTCACCCCTCGGAGGCCCAGCTCCCCATCCGCAAAGCAGGGAGCACAGTGCTTTCCCGACCTCGCTGGAGAACTGCCAGGGCAAACTGGACCCTTGTGAGAGACTTGGGTACCGCGCTGAGGGGGGCCAGATCAGCCCCCAAATAGCGTTCTTCCCAGAACAGGCACAGTGGGGGCACTGGCAGGACCAATGCCCCTGACCTGCCCCAGGCCTCAGCCTTGACTCCAAGGGACCACCTCTCCCGATACATGGAGCATTTCAGTCCCCAGGCTGCCGCCCCAGCCCCTTCCACCAGCGCTGCATTCGCAGAGCACGGGAAAGGACGTTCCTCCCACTCCAGGGACCAGCTGGGCCATACGGTGCTGACCGAGGCGTTTCCCCAGGGGGCCCTTGAGCCAGGCGGTTACAGAAAGATGCAGCCGCAGGCTCGCGAGGAAAGGGGGCTGGAAAGGTGAGATCGGGGAACGGGACATGAGCCCATCACTCTGCTCAGCCACGGAGGAGGGGTGCGTAGGGGAAGGACACCTGAGATCTGTGGCTGATGAGCGAGGTCCGGGTGCTCTTATTGTTCCCATGTGAGGGTAAATGGGGAGGAATGGCCAGCGCCAGTAAGGACTGAGGAGTAACACCCAGGGCATGGGCACACTGCGATAAAAACCCCCATGGCCCTGAGTCTCAGCGCCCGGATCAGCTGGCTCGGGCTGGGGCTGGCGGGGTGGGGGGAGCTGTAAAATCGCAGCGGAGATGCTTGGACTGGAGCCCAGGCTCTGAGACCCTCCCCCCCCCCGTGGCGTCTCAGAGCCTAGGCGCCAGCCCGAGCCCGAATGTCTCCACTGCAGTGTTGCAGCCCGAGCCCCACGAGCCTGAGTCAAGTGACCCAGGCCAGCCGTGGGACTTTCAGTGCAGACATACCCACAGGAACAGGCACCGGCCCTGTGGCTGCTCCGGGGCTGAAGCACCCACAGAAAACAATACTGGGTGCTCAGCACCCACCGGCAGCCCCATGGATCAGCTCCTCCCGCTCCCTCCCAGCGCCTCCCGCCCACCAGCAGCCCCACGGATCAGCTCCTCCTGCTCCCTCCCAGCGCCTCCCACCCACCGGCAGCCCCCCGGATCAGCTCCTCCCGCTCCCTCCCAGCGCCTCCCACCCACCGGCAGCCCCCCGGATCAGCTCCTCCCGCTCCCTCCCAGCGCCTCCCGCCCACCGGCAGCCCCCCGGATCAGCTCCTCCCGCTCCCTCCCAGCGCCTCCCACCCACCGGCAGCCCCCCGGATCAGCTCCTCCCGCTCCCTCCCAGCGCCTCCCGCCCACCGGCAGCCCCCGGATCAGCTCCTCCCGCTCCCTCCCAGCGCCTCCCGCCCACCAGCAGCCCCCCGGATCAGCTCCTCCCGCTCCCTCCCAGCGCCTCCCGCCCATCGGCAGCCCCACGGATCAGCTCCTCCCGCTCCCTCCCAGCGCCTCCCGCCCACCAGCAGCCCCCCGGATCAGCTCCTCCCGCTCCCTCCCAGCGCCTCCCGCCCACCGGCAGCCCCACGGATCAGCTCCTCCCCCTCCCTCCCAGCGCCTCCCGCCCATCAGCAGCCCCCCCGGATCAGCTCCTCCCGCTCCCTCCCAGCGCCTCCCGCCCACCGGCAGCCCCCCCGGATCAGCTCCTCCCGCTCCCTCCCAGTACCTCCCGCCCATCGGCAGCCCCACGGATCAGTTCTTCCCGCTCCCTCCCAGCGCCTCCCGCCCACCGGCAGCCCCACGGATCAGCTCCTCCTGCTCCCTCCCAGCACCTCCCGCCCACCAGCAGCCCCACGGATCAGCTCCTCCTGCTCCTTCCCAGCGCCTCCCGCCCATCGGCAGCCCCACGGATCAGCTCTTCCCGCTCCCTCCCAGCGCCTCCTGCCCACCGGCAGCCCCACGGATCAGCTCCTCCTGCTCCCTCCCAGCACCTCCCGCCCACCAGCAGCCCCACGGATCAGCTCCTCCCGCTCCCTCCCAGCGCCTCCCGCCCATCGGCAGCCCCACGGATCAGCTCTTCCCGCTCCCTCCCAGCGCCTCCCTGCCCACCGGCAGCCCCACGGATCAGCTCCTCCTGCTCCCTCCCAGCACCTCCCACCCACCAGCAGCCCCACGGATCAGCTCCTCCCGCTCCCTCCCAGCGCCTCCCGCCCATCGGCAGCCCCACGGATCAGCTCCTCCCCCTCCCTCCCAGCGCCTACCGCCCATCGGCAGCCCCCGGATCAGCTCCTCCCGCTCCCTCCCAGCGCCTCCCGCCCACCAGCAGCCCCCGGATCAGCTCCTCCCGCTCCCTCCCAGCACCTCCCGCCCACCGGCAGCCCCCGGATCAGCTCCTCCCGCTCCCTCCCAGCACCTCCCGCCCACCAGCAGCCCCCGGATCAGCTCCTCCCGCTCCCTCCCAGCGCCTCCCGCCCACCGTCAGCCCCACGGATCAGCTCTTCCCGCTCCCTCCCAGCACCTCCCGCCCACCGGCAGCCCCCCGGATCAGCTCCTCCCGCTCCCTCCCAGCACCTCCCGCCCACCAGCAGCCCCCCGGATCAGCTCCTCCCGCTCCCTCCCAGCACCTCCCGCCCATCAGCAGCCCCCGGATCAGCTCCTCCCGCTCCCTCCCAGCGCCCCCGCCCACCGGCAGCCCCCGGATCAGCTCCTCCCGCTCCCTCCCAGTACCTCCCGCCCATCGGCAGCCCCACGGATCAGTTCTTCCCGCTCCCTCCCAGCGCCTCCCGCCCACCGGCAGCCCCCCGGATCAGCTCCTCCCGCTCCCTCCCAGCACCTCCCGCCCACCAGCAGCCCCACGGATCAGCTCCTCCCGCTCCCTCCCAGCGCCTCCCGCCCATCGGCAGCCCCACGGATCAGCTCTTCCCGCTCCCTCCCAGCGCCTCCTGCCCACCGGCAGCCCCACGGATCAGCTCCTCCTGCTCCCTCCCAGCACCTCCCACCCACCAGCAGCCCCACGGATCAGCTCCTCCCGCTCCCTCCCAGCGCCTCCCGCCCATCGGCAGCCCCATGGATCAGCTCCTCCCGCTCCCTCCCAGCGCCTACCGCCCATCGGCAGCCCCCGGATCAGCTCCTCCCGCTCCCTCCCAGCGCCTCCCGCCCACCAGCAGCCCCCGGATCAGCTCCTCCCGCTCCCTCCCAGCACCTCCCGCCCACCGGCAGCCCCCCGGATCAGCTCCTCCCGCTCCCTCCCAGCACCTCCCGCCCACCAGCAGCCCCCCGGATCAGCTCCTCCCGCTCCCTCCCAGCACCTCCCGCCCACCAGCAGCCCCCAGGATCAGCTCCTCCCGCTCCCTCCCAGCGCCTCCCGCCCACCGGCAGCCCCCCGGATCAGCTCCTCCCGCTCCCTCCCACCGGCAGCCCCCCGGATCAGCTCCTCCCGCTCCCTCCCAGCGCCTCCCGCCCACCAGGATCAGCTGTTCCGCGGTGTGCAGGAGGTGCTGGGAGGGAGGGGGCAGAACGGGGCAGGGCAGGGGTGGGAAGACGGAGGGCAATGCTGGAGCAACAAGAATTAATGCGATCCTTGTATGTGTAAACCTGCACGTGAGTAGGGAGGCGATTTTACCTCTGTGTACAGCGTTAGTGAGACCAGGAGATTTTGAAAAACTGGAGAGGGTGCAGAGCCACGACGCGATCTGAGGGCTGGACAAAATGCTTTAGCTGAGACTCCGAGAGCGCCGTTTGTTGGGTGTCTCAAAACGAAGGTTGCGAGATGACTTCATGACCGGGTATAAGAACTTCAATGGGGAGAAAATAATTGGTGCTAATAGGCTCTTTGATCGAGCTCAGGGGCTCTCAAACCGTGGGTCGCAACCCCCTGAGTTTATTAGGGGGGGGGTCGCGAGTACATGCACGAAACAGAGCAACTGCTATAAATCGTATCATTTAAATCTAGCGTTTTAGAAAATTACACACATCTTTCCCTGGCAACATAGTGCATTTCCTGCCAAAAGTCTTGTAAACGTCTCATGCAGTGATCATTGTTCCTCAACTAAATATATATATATATATACATATTTGTGTGTGAGTGTGTATTATCACCATGGTAAGGAACTTGGACTCTGAGGATTGCAGTATTGTGTTGTGCAGGTTTGTGGTCTTGAGACTAAAAAGGTGAGACTGAGGCAACACGAGAGGGCCGATATTAACAAACATACAAAGATGACTTTTCACAGCAGACCCGCTAGCTAGCTAGTCTGCTGTGAAAAGTCATTTCTGTATATTTGTTAATATCACTTTCTGCAGCCTCCCAGCTAGCTAGCAAGTCTGCTGTGAAAAGTGATATTAACAAACATACAAAGATGACTTCGCACCCCGTTGCCCCCCTTACTCCTGCACTGCTGCTGCCCAGCTCTGAAGGCAGCACAGAAGAAAGGGGGGCAATCGGGTGCGAAGTCTGCTGTGAAAAGTGATCTTGACACAGTTTCTTCACGTGTCTCCCCGCCCCCCCCAGTATTAAACAGTAACTATTTAAAAAAATAACTTTTCTGCTTATAACGATCATTAGATGAAAATGTGTTTTAGTCATACTTTCAAAGCAGTGAGAAAAGGTCAATTCTTTTTAAACAATAGGATTATAAATTTAGCATTTAAAATAGTGTTAAATATAAAAACTGTTGTTTTTAATTTATAAGGGGGGCGGTCACCCTAAGAGGCTTGCTGTCTGACAGAGGTCACCCATACAAAGCGTTTGAGAACCACTGATCTAGCTGATGAAGGCAGACCAAGAACCAATGGCTGGAGGCTGAATCCAGATGCATTCAAATTAGAAATAAGATTCAAATGTTTACTCCCAAGGGATTCTCCGTCTCTTGATGTCTTCAGATCCAGACTGGCTGCCTTTCTTGAAGACGTGCCTTTGCCAAACACAAGTTTAACTTTGCTCAAACACAAGTTAACGGGCTCAGTAGGGAGGTAACTGGGTAAAATGTAATGGCGTGTAATAGACAGGAGGGCAGACGAGATGATCTAAAAATACCTTCTGGCCCTAAACGCTATATAAGATGTTATGGACTAAAGGGCCTGGTGTCTATTCCTGTCCCCATTCTCCTTTATCACTGCTGGGCTGCGTAACCAGGAATAGGGGAAGGGGGTGTTGATCCCTTATGTCTCACTATCCCCAGAAGTGGTGCTGGGACCCCATCGCTTCCCAGCCACCGGTGCCTGGGGTGTCCCTAGCGGCCCAACAACACGGCACAGGCTGGCCGGTGCTCTCACGCCTGCTGCACTGAAGCACACCCTAACCTTGGCCTTCCCTCTCTGTCTGTCTCTCATCCCCAGTGCGCCAGTACGCGGACATCTGCCTGTTCAACACTGCTCAGTACAAATGCCCCGTTGCTGTGGAAGAGGCAGAGTGAGTATGCCCACTCATGTCCTTTGGTAGCATCACGGCCATGGCTCGTCTCCAGGGATCATGCCACATCTCACCGTGCTGGGGCTCCCCACTGAGCCCAAGGTTAGCAGAGGAGCTCGGATTTTCCTGGCTCTCTTCTGCTTCCTACAAGCTCGAGGACCATTAAAGAACCGATCTCCAGGACTATGCAAAACTGGTCTCTTCTGCCCCACAGCCCTGCCCCCCATGTGTGCGTCAGAGTCAGAGCAGCTGACTTTACTTACTTAAATAAGGCTTACGTGATGGGGCAAAGCCCCTCTGGAACCAGGAGGGAAAGAACTCATTGTCTAGAAAAACTGCCAATCAACCAGAGCGACAGGCGGGACGTCTCTTTAGTGTAAAGGGTTCTGGGTCAGGAAGCCCGCTATAAATCCTCTGGCTCTGTCCCAGCTAGAGAGTCAGAGCTGTGGGCCTGTTATGACTGGGTAAGTGGAGTGATGGGATAGGATGGAAAGGGATCTGCTGTTGTTCTTTTGATTTTGGGTTTTGTTTAAAAGGAAATTTTGGTACTGTTTCTTTTCTGCTAACCCCCTCTGAACTTTGTCCCGCTGATTTGCCATGGCTTTCCCGCTGTTCGCTCCTGTCGGCCATGTTCTGAGCCCAGGATCTTTATCGTTGCTGGTGTATAAAGACCCCAGCTTGACTTGTAGGGCCCAGGCTGAGTTTGGTGGAGAAATATCTCTTGACTTGTGATCTGGAGTCCTTGAGACAACAAACGGAGGCCCCACGGTGGTATTTTTACAGCGTCCCTTTAAATCGTGCTGGATGCATACCGGGTGGTTGCATTGCCATGTCGTGACATGGCTCAGAGTTGTGATATTGAACCACCCCGGGGATGTGGCATCAGCATGTGATGACTCTTCGTCGCCGTGGAAAGCTGCTCACGTTGTAACACAGCTTCAGTGCTGCCTGGGCACCCTGCTCACAACAAAGTGATTCTGCTCTGCTTGGGGCCATGGCAGCCTTTGTTCAGACTGGCTTTTGATCACATCTCAAAACTCAGAGTGAGACGCAATCAAAACCACTGAGCTTTACATGGCTCCTGCCTGAACTCTCTCGGTTAGCTGGCAACTTGCTCCGAGTTCCCCTGAGAGATTGGGGTCGTAGATGAACTTAGGCTTTCGGGCTTTGTCAGGAATCTGCAGCAAACGCCGTATCTTGCGACTGTCCTGCGAAGGGTGAGGTGAGCATGTTCAGAGCCTCATGGGTAGTTCTTGCATAAGGATTTCGCTGTGTCACAGAGAGGAGGCCACTTCCCAGCTCCACACCGGGAATCACCGTGACGGTGTCAGGCATTCACATGATCCCCAGTGGGGCTGACCCATCAGGCTTGTATTTGCCGTTGCATTGTGCTTCAGATATTTTCCTTTCTCCTAGAGAGATGGGAGCTCTGGGACCCCACGGGGAGGTGTGGGTGTTGGTTCGGTCCCATACATTACATCAGTTTCATTCACCCTCGTTGTTGTCCTCAGTGACGTGGTGGCTCCGAGTTCGACGTTCTGCAAAGTCTACACACTGACCCCTTTTCTCGCCAACAACCGGGAGAAGCGGGGCCTGGCCCTGGACGGGAAGCTTAAACATGAAGACACCAATCTGGCTTCCAGCACATTGTGAGAGCTCCTTCCTCCCTGCCCTGCATGTCTGAGTGGTTTGTTTCTCCCAGCAATGCGGATGGGTCACCTAAAGAATGACTGTCGTGAAGAATCCCGGTGCCACTAAACACCAGCCAAGTCCCCAGTCCTGCAGAGCTCTTGGCATAGCCTTAACTCTAAGTACACGAGTAGCCCTGTTGATGGCAATACCAGTTGGCTTCCGTGGCACTGCCTGTGGGCTTAAACATGTACTCAAGTGCTTTGCTGCATCGGGGTTGGAACCTCAGTGTTGGCACCAGGATCAGATGTCTTTGAAGTGAGACATTTAAAAGGGCCCTGGCCAGGGCCCTGTAGAATACCCTCTAGAGGGCAGAACTGTACTGCCTGCCTTTCAAGGGATGGCATGGGAGACCTAATGGTAGCTCTTTCTATTGCTAACTTCTGGGATTCTAAAAAGATGCTGGCCAAAACTTTCACACCTGGCTGCTTAAAGGTAGACCCCCCCAAAATGCCACTCTAGGTTCCCACCATGGATTTAGGAGCCTGTGCACCCAGGTTTGAAAACTTCAGCCAAAGTCCTTAGCTAGTCCCTTTGGGTGGGATTCACAAAGGTATTTAGATGCCTAATACCCCTGGCTTTTACTTTCTGTTGATTTTCGTTTGTGTGTATCTCTCTCTCCATCTGTTATCAGAGGAGAGCCTGGGAGAGCCTCTGGGATTTTTAGAGCGATGAGCCCATTTTCACTTCAAAAACGGTTTGGCTGGTTTTCACTTCCCCTATTATTTGCGGGTGAAAAGGGTGTCATTTCCCAAATTTGGCATCCCTTCCCCGTTAGTCACTTTTCCCTTTTAAATACGTGAAATTTCAAAATGGCGCCTGATTCCCTGGGGAAACTGCCATTTTGCAGAAGTGTGATGAGGTTCGGGGAGTTGGGAGACGGCCCGGTACTGTGAGTCTGTGTTTGGGGTACTTTGCGGGGAAGGGGAGCTACTATTTTCACCCGGTTCTAATAGAAACTCCTGGCAGTCGTGTCCTTACAAATCCCTCATCTGTCCTTGCTTCTAGGCTAAGAGATGGAGCCAATAAGGAGATCCTGGGAATTATTGTCTCGTATAAAGTGAAAGTGAAGCTGGTGGTGTCTCGGGGAGGGTGAGTATCTTCTTCCTTCTGCGGCTAATCGCAGTCAAGAAAAATCAAACCAACCTTTCCTCTGCCCCAACCGAAGGCAAGGGCGACTGGATGCAAATTTATCCAGTCACTTAAATCTCTACCCTCACAGGCCACACCCTTCAGCACATGGCCACACCCCATGGCCGCACCCTCCAGCACATGGCCATGCCCCTAAATTTGAGAAAGAAGCGGCACGGAGCTTTCAAACACTCACAAAGGAAGAAACCTTTGTGGTATTTTTTACGTTGAGGGTTTGTTGAATCTTCTCCTGTCTGGCCCTGAATTGGGATAACGTTCACAGGGCTGGGCTATGGGCTCCCTGCTTTGGCCCAACAGCATGTGTTGGTCAACTCTTTGCATGGCCGCCCAATACATGCTCTGAGTGGTGTGGTCCCCATGACCACTTCATTTGGACACACAGTAGCCTGCAGTGATGCTTGTGTTGCTCCAAATCTCACTCTCCTGGCTGTGACCTGCTCCGGCTCGAGTGCAGGTGAATTCTGAATGGGTGGCAGTGTTTCCTCTGAGTGACTTCGGTGAGCTTTGGCTCAAAGCCTCAGTGTCTTTCCTCTGCGGATCTCAAAGCACTTCACAAGCACAGGTTAATTCTCCCAACACTCCTCTGAGCAGCTTGCCCAGGGCCATGCAGTGAATCAGTGGCAGAACCAGATATGGAAGCTAAGAGTCCCGATTCCCCATCAACAAGGCCTATGACCCATAGCACAGATCAAATGGCCTGGCAGTCACCCTAGATTTTCGGGAACTGGGAAGAGCTTGCTCAAGAGAGGGAGTTGGCGCATAACGCTACTAGGCAGCTGCACTGAACTGACACAGGGCTTGGCTATTTTCAGATAGAATCGGCGACAGATGTTTAACCACTAACTTGTGTTAGCAATAGGTGATGAGCTACAAGGCATGAATATGCTAACCTCTAGGATAAGGGCACCCCAGGATTATACAGGTGAGGAAGTTCATAGAATATCAGAGTTGGAAGGGACCTCAGGGGGTCATCTAGTCCAACCCCCTGCTCAACCAGGACCAATCCCCAATTTTTGCCCCAGATCCCTAAATGGCCTCCTCAAGGATTGAACTCACAACCCTGGGTTTAGCAGGCCAATGCTCAAACCACTGAGCTATCCCTCCCCCTGCTAGTTAGAGCTGGACATGGAAGGCTGGGCTTCTCAATGAATATTCATGATAGTGCCCAGGCCTTATAATAGGCTGTGTAGCAGGAGCTAGCTTTGCATATTTGATTCTGTCTCTTCAGTGGTATCTACCACCAAATCTGGACCACTGGATGCATTGGGCAGGCCAGGGACAGGGCTGGTCCTTTGTCTCGCACCACCAGGTCCCCAGGGAAAGGTGGGAATTGGAGCTTTCCGTGGCTAAGGATGGGCAGTGCCCTGTGTGTGCAGGTCTTTGCCATGCAGCTTGGGGTTCCCGACAAGACCTTGAACTTGTCAGTTTTTGTTCTGTGGAGTCTGATTCCGGGGCAAGAACTCTGTTAGCCCTGGCTCATTAAATCAGTGTCAGTCGGTACAATTGTTGTTAACCAATCACAAGGATCAGGCAACAAGGCTAGGGGTGCAGTGTAGACATCCCCTTGTTTACCATGGAAGGGGGTGGGGAGGTTTGAGGGCCAGGCTAAGGGCAGCTTCCAAAGTACAGTGTGGTGCGATCTCTGTAGGGGGCATTGGACCTAGGGGTTACAGTGGATGAGAAGCTGGATATGAGTCAACAGTGTGCCCTTGTTGCCAAGAAGGCGAACGGCATTTTGGGCTGTATAAGTAGGAGCATTGCCAGCAGATTGAGGGATGTGATCATTCCCCTCTATTCGGCATTGGTGAGGCCTCATCTGGAGTACTGTGTCCAGTTTTGGGCCCCACACTACAAGGAGGATGTGGAAAAATTGGAAAGAGTCCAGCAGAGGGCAACAAAATGATTACGGGACTGGAACACATGACTTACGAGGAGAGGCTGAGGGAACTGGGATTATTTAGTCTGCGGAAGAGAAGAATGAGGGGGGATTTGATAGCTGCTTTCAACTACCTGAAGCGGTTCCAAAGAGGATGGATCTAGACTGTTCTCCGTGGTAGCAGATGACAGAACAAGGAGCAATGGTCTCAAGTTGCAGTGTGGGAGGTTTAGGAAAAACCTCCCACACTGCAGGTTGGATATTAGGAAAAACTTTTTCACTAGGAGGGTGGTGAAGCACTGGAATGGGTTACCTAGGGAGGTGGTGGAATCTCCTTCCTTAGAGGTTTTTAAGGTCAGGCTTGACAGAGCCCGGGCTGGGATGATTTAGTTGTGGATTGGTCCTGCTTTGAGCAGGGGGTGGGACTAGATGACCTCCTGAGGTCCCTTCCAGCCCTGATATTCTATGATTCTATGATTGGCACGTCCTGGCTGCCAACCTGGGGTGTGAAGAGAACCTTTGATTCACTCCCTCAGGAGCCTCCTTCCAATACAGTAACCCAGGGAGAGCAGGAATTCAGCCAGCAATAAGACCTGGGTTTAATTCCTGATGCTGCCACTGACCTGCTGTTGCCGGCCCCTGAGCCTAAAGAGAGGCTAGTGCTACTGATGCCTTGTTCTACACGGAGGGGTGGAGAGCGACTGATCGTGTCTGTGACGAGCTTTGAGATTCTCGCAGGGAAGCAGCTCTAGTAGTACAAACCCTGTGTCACCAGGATCTGTCTCTCGTGACAACCCATCGCAAGCAGCTGCGGGGAAGTGATGTGATGAGGCCTTGTTGGTGCTGATTAGATCCCGCAGACAGGTGGGCTCAGCAAATGACAGCCGGGGGAGATGCTTAGCCACTAAAGGATGGCAGAACATAGCAGCCACTGGGGACGGGTCCTGGGAGGAACGTGGCTCAGAAACCCACCCGGGGCTCCAGGGAGCTGCCTAGTGGCGGAGACCTGACTCCAAACCCCCCACTCTGCTCCATGGCAGCCCCTGGATCTTTAGGGAGCTCTCACCAGTGGGGCTGATGGGATGCTACGTACTTGCTGGTCACCGTCACTAGCTGGGTGTGGGCTGATGGGTTGGCCCATGATGCTGTTTCCTCCAGTGGGAGGCAGGCTCCTTGGCTGGAGCTTTGCCTTCTGATCCGGCACTAGTCTCTGTTGCTCCTTTTACTAAGCCAGCTCCCAGCTCTGCTCTGACCCCCCTGTCCCACTTACTTGAGCCCTGCCCCTCCTTGCGGGCTCTGATCTAGCCTCAGATTTGAGCCCGTTTCTGGCTAACTGCCCTCGGCAGTCTGGGCTCTAATGCTGTGGTGAGCGCATCACCTGTGCCCTGCCTCTGTCTCTGTGCCGGCTGAATGCTCAGATTCTCAGCCTTAGTCCCGGAGACAGACATCCGTCATCTCTGTCCCAAATCCATCCCTTCCCACCTGTGGGGTGGGACCTGGCTGGGAGGGGCCTGCTCAGGATAGATCCCACAGTGATGGCTGCTTCCGAGGTAGGGGCGTGAAATCTCTCTGCTTGTAGGGGGGAGGCCTCACTTATCTGTTGTGCAACCTTCCCCTGACGTTATCTGCTGACATCCTGCTTGCAGGTCCTGGCAAGTCAGAGGTCAGGAGCCTTTGATGGGCAGGCGCGACTGAGGGACTTGGTCCTTCCTCTGTGCCAGGCTGGTCTTGGTGACCTCTCGAGGTCCTTTCCAGTCCTACATGCCTATGATTCTACCAGCTGCCTGGTGGGGAAGGCTGGTTGTTGTGTCCTGTCTCTAGCCCCCACTTCCCCAGTTCCTCCTCAGGCCCTGCAGCACCCCATAAAGTGCTCTGCTGGTTCCCACGGATCCGGCAGGAAGCGGCACATGTCATAGAGAGGCCCGCTTGAGAGTGGCGAAATGGGGGATCCCAGCAGGACCTGGGCTAGACACACACGTTCAGGGCGGTGTGATCGTGCCAGGGGGCTGTGGAGCTGGGAGTCGATCTCGGGCCTGGTTCCTGCGTTCCGACCTGTTGGCTGCCTGTGCTTTTCTTTTTTTCTTTTTTTCTTTTTTTTAAACTGGTGACTAATTCTCTTGTCTCTTTTGGACTCTGCCAGCCTGCTGGGAGATCTTGCATCCAGGTAACACTTTCCAGCTCTGCCCGCTCTGGCGGTGCCGCGCGGACGCTGGCAGCCCGGCTTTTCATTCATGATCTTTCAGACCCCTCCATTGTTTTCCTCATACCCCTCACCAGCTTTTCCTTCGTCCACTTGGTCTTTTCTTTTTCCTTCTGTTCCTTCTCCACCCAAACTCCAGCATGTCTTCCCGGCTTCCCCGCGGGAGGAAGATGACAAACTCTGCCGATAAACCCTTCACTCAGTTCCGTATTTACTGCCTTTAGCAATCCCCAGACTGGGAGGCGCTGCCCTCTGTCGGTTCAGGGACGCTGCCTATGTAACTGCAGGGTCGTTGTAAGCATTTGAGTTACCAGTCAGGACGTACTGGGTTTATCACCCAGCCCTTTCACTGAGGTGCTGGTAGATGCTCTGTGCCCAAAGCAGCCATGCCCAGGGGTTGCAGAGTGAGGGGAGTGAGGTGGCTCCCAGCACTCTCCTGTTGGCCCAGGGCAGGTTGGCTCTGAGTGAGTGAGGGGAAGGGCGCGGAGACAGTCGATATGTGCTCGTATGGTAAACCAGCAGGTCTCTGAGCTGCTGTCTTGTTCTTCAGAATCTCCGCTGTCATTTAAACACTCTCCTCCACTGTTTGCCCTGGTGCTGTAGTCCCAGGAGATGAGAACCACAAGGCGGGTGAGGTAATTACTTTTACTGGACAAACTTCTGTTGGTGAAAGAGACAAGCTTCCGAGCGCCCCAGAGCTTTGTGTCAAAAGCTTGTCTCTTTCACCAACAGGCCTTGGTCCAGTAAAAAATAGGACCTCACCTGCCTCGTGTCTCTCATTTAAAACCAGTGCATCTCTAGCCAGGGCTGCACTACAAACGAACATCGGTAAAACGACCTCGCACAGGGGTGTGAAAAGTCCACAGCCCTGAGAACCATTGCCACCATGAAAGATTTACTGCTGCTGGGGCATGAAGGTCTCGCCACAGAGTCCGTCTCAGCCAGTGACTAACCACAAAGCTGGTTCGAGCCCCGGGGAGGGAGGTGAAAGGGGAAGAGGGAGGGAGCCCAGTGGAACTGATCTTCTGCCAACTCAGTGGTGCTGAGCCACAAAGAATGGAAACCGGTATTTCCCTGAGAATAAACAAATGCTGGTCAGCCGGTGGGGCTGGGATGACCTTTCATCCGGTGCCATGTCTTTCAATTCGTCTCTGTACCTAAGTCTGTAGGAAGAGGTTGTCCAGCTGGTTATTTAATTTGCAACTAATTAGAGACCGTTTTGCAAATGTCCCAGATATCCAAAGGATAAACTGCAGATCTTGTCAGTGCAGCGCAGACCTAGAAGTTTTGTGCAACCTTCCTATCATATCCTTTTCTCTGTCCTCCTTCCCTGGCCTTCCCTGTTGATCACCGCCTGGTCTGTTACATTGCACATTCTGCGTGCCCTGACTTGTCTACCTGTGCTGGGAGGAATCGGGTTAAATGAGGAGGAGAATAACTGGTGCTAATGATGGGGACCCATGCAAGGGCATGAATCGAGCCTTTCCATTCAGAAATGTGTATGTCACGCTGCGTGACGGCTTTATCACATATTAAACTCTACCTCACACACACTACGTAGGGCAGTGAGAGGAGCCTGGTACCACCTACAGCATGTCCGGACACAACTAGAAATCACAACTAAAGTGGTCGTTTACCTCCTGCTGGGTAAGCTGCAAAAACCATATGTTCCCAGGCGAGCTCAGACTGGCTGCCTGGACTGGCCTTCTGAGCCTGGGCTGACGTGTGATTGCTGCTTGTCAGTGTATATGTGATTTTCCCACCTCACTCGGTAGCAGGTGATCACTGTGCACATGCCTCAGTGTTGGGCTTAGTGTGGCTCGGAGGGTCACTGCTGCAGCGAGAGGCACTCTAGGTAGACCAGCTGCAACGCATGCGTTTAATTACGCGATGGACGTGTTTCTGAGATGGAGGATTTGAGTTATGTCCCTTCTCAGACAGCCTCCCTCTCCACCATTGAAACTGGCTTCTCTCCTGTTGTTTCGTGATGGGGATTGGATGGCTGCTTGGGTTGGTAACAGAGAGAGCACCTGGCGTCTTGTGGCTGCCAGTTCAGATTTAGCCTGGGTCAAGAGCTGCTACCCCTTGACAGCGGTGCGTTGGCCAGGTGTAGGCAGCATGTGGCCTCAGTCTGCTCCATCAGAGACAGGTAGCCCCCAAAGCTGTTCTCACATTTGGCTCATTGTTGGCAGCCTTTGGTGGCGAGGCCAAGGATTGAATGGGTCCTTGAGCCTGATCTCCCCTTGTGGGGGAAACCCACCCAGTCTCTGCTGATCCCATATTTATGCTGGGACTGAGCCAGATTTCAGTCGGCAAGGCTAGCTCCTTGCACCAGCACTGAAAACCGGACTGACTTGGCCATCTTTGTTTTCACGGGGTTTAGAGGGGCAGCAGCCCTGCAGCTAATCTCAGAGTGAACTGGCTGCAGAGAGCTTCTCGGACTCTCTCCAAATCGAGAAGTTCCTAGTGTAGAAACGCACAGCTCAGCTTTCCGAGTCTCTCCCGCTTCTGCCCCTACAGCCGTTGAGCGTGCTTCGAAGGAGATGACTGGCGATTCGAGCCCAGGAGTAGGGCTCTCAGGCCTTTATAACAGCCAAGGCCACTGAGCCTGCTAGAGGAGGGGTAGAGAGGAGACACTTACCATTTCAGGGGTATAACACTGTTCTCATTAGCTCCAACTTTACTCCTTGAGACTCCATGTACTTCAGTGTCCATGTGTCAGCATGTGGCTTAGCTACTGCAGTAGCTACTACAGAGATAGGGGCTCCACTGACTTCAAGGGAGTCCCGCCTGCCTTAGAATCGTAGCGTCATAGAAGATCAGGGTTGGAAGGGACCTCAGGAGGTCACCTAGTCCAACCCCCTGCTCAAAGCAGGACCCATCCCCAACTAAATCATCCCAGCCAGGGCTTTGTCGAGCCCTTAAAGACCTCTAAGGATGGAGATTCCATCACGTCCCTAGGGAACCCATTCCAGTGCTTCACCACCCTCCTAGTGAAATAGTGTTTCCTAATATCCAACCTAGACCTCCCCCACTGCAACTTCAGACCATTGCTCCTTGTTCTGTCATCTGGCACCACTGCGAACAGCCGAGCTCCATCTGGGGGACGCTGGGAGATCATTTCCCAGGATTTTACTCTGCATTATTTATTATTTGTATTAAAGCTGCACCCAGAAGCCCCCGCTGAATCATAGAATCATAGAATATCAGGGTTGGAAGGGACCTCAGGAGGTCATCTAGTCCAACCCCCTGCTCAAAGTAGGACCAACCCCAACTCAATCATCCCAGCCAGGGCTTTGTCAAGCCTGACCTTAAAGACCTCTAAGGATGGAGATTCCACCACCTCCCTAGGGAACCCATTCCAGTGCTTCACCACCCTCCTAATGAAACATGGGTGTGAGAGGAGAATCAAAATGGGGACTATAAATCCAGGATCAAAGTGCGCAGGATTTACACTGATGTCACAGGGAGCAGAATCTGGCCTCCACTCCAGTTGAAATGCTTCTTTTGCAATTGGAAAAACACTTCAATCTGTTAAAAACAACGAGGAGTCCTGCCCAAATAAATCCGTCAGTCTCTAAGGTGCCACAAGGACTCCTCGCTGTTTTTGCTGATACAGACTAACACCGCTACCCCTCTGAAACCTGTCTTCGATCTGTTGCGGCCGCCAAAATACTCCAATCCGCCAGCACGTGGCGCGAGAGAGCTGCTGTCAAAGCCGGCTCTCCTCAGCAGTGTCATGTAGACACACTGCGATGCGGTGTCTGTACATCATGCTTCAGGGCCGGAGCCTGCTCAGTGGCGGAATTTCAGTTGGGGGCAGGAATCAGGCCCATCCCGGGGCAGGACAGAGTATTTAATTAAAATACCTGCCGTGTCATTCCGGAGCCAGCTATCAAAGCCCCCGCAGGCCTGGTCGCCCTCATCCATCGCTTCTCATCCGGGTCTCCGGGTCTGTTTCAGTGACGTTGCTGTGGAACTGCCTTTCACACTTATGCACCCCAAGCCCAAGGAAGAACCCTTGCACCGGGATGGTGAGTTGAACCCGTTTCTCGTCCCCTCGTGGCTTCGGGACTTGCTCTGCGGTTCTGAACCAAGCCCGCCGGGCAGGGGTGTCACTGGCTGGGTGGGTTTGTTAGATACAGAACTGGCCTGTGCCGGAACTGAGGTTTCAGAAAAGGGGTCCGTGTAAACACTAACAAGCAGCATACTGGCGGGGAGGGAGGAGTCAGATTAGTAGCCGCTGAAAGTCCCACAGTGTGTGAGCTTCTGCTGGGCCTGCAGATCCTGGAATCGCCTAGAGACCACGTTGCATGTGCAGTGACATAGTTGCAAATGCCCCTTTGCCTGTGTAAATGGTGCAGTAGACGTGGTCCAGGCCCTTCATCCTTCTGAGGCAGATAAATTGACCTCCATGTGGATTGCCATAGAAGAACTCGCTGGTGGCTCCATGTGGATGGTAAAGATCCATGGTTCTCTTTATATGAGTCGGGGTGTTGATTCCAGCGTTATGGCTAACGGTTTCCTCTCCCCAGTGCTGCCATACAATCCATAGGCCTGGAAGGGACCCCGAGAAGTCAGCGAGTCCAGTCCCCTGCACTCATGGCAGGACTAAGTATTATCCCATGCGATGTATGGGTTGATTGCCACTCTCCACCCCAGAGATGGCAGCATTTCAGACCTGGTCTGGTGCATTTGAGGCCAAATCCCATTCCCCCATTGATTTCCAAGGGAGTTTTGTCCAAGCAAGGATGGCAGGCTTGTGCCCAGAGCTTGTGGTGCTGTGGGATGAAAGAAGCGGTGTAACGGTTATTCATTATTTTGTCAAGTAACTAACCATGTGCAATAATTTCCTGTGTTTAGTTCCAGAGAATGAAGCTCCCATAGATACAAATCTCATAGAGCTTGATACAAAGTAAGCTAAAATCATCCCAGAGCCTATATGGGAATGTTGACTCATTTGCATATGAACTCAATCAGTGATCCACTCATTTGCATATAACTCAATAACCAGCTAACTGAGCTAGACATAATTCGGTCAATATCATTTCCATGTAACAGTCAATGATTAACTCACGTGAACGTAACCTTTAATGCATGGGGTGTATGTTTCTTTTCTTTCTTTTTTGGCATGATAACCATCTTGCATGTGTTTTGCAACAGGAAAAGCATAGTAAGAAACCACCTTCTCTGTCTCTGAGTTGTATTTTGCTCTGTTGCATCCATGTCATTGTGTTGTCACAGCCGGCCTTGGACTTCACACAGTGGAATCTGGTTTTAGCGAGTGCCGCTTGAGGGAGACGTTAAGTTCTGTGGATCAAATCGTAGGCCACCCTTGGGTGCCTAAAGCTGAATCCATATTTAGCCACCTAATGTTAAGGGCGGTCTGATTTTTTCAGAGGGGCTGAGCATCTACAGCAGCTTTCATTGACTTCACCGAGTCCAGCCCCTGCTGTCGCAGGCAACCAAGGCGCAAGTCAGGCGCTAACGGACAAATGTTCAGAAGTGGTCACTAATTTTGGGTGCCTCAAATTTTGGGGTAACATGATGTGGCACCACCAAGCCCTGGCTCCTCAGAGAGGCACATGCAGCTCTTGTGGCCTTCAGTGGGAGCCATGGGCACTCGGTGCTGCTGAAAACCAGGCCCCAGGCTTTTCAAGTTGGGCCTAGAAATTGGGGGGGCCCCCAGATCAGTGGTTGATTGAGATTTTGGGCTGCAGGGCATTATAGGGCACCTCTGAAAACCAGGCTGCTGGGATTTGAAAAGCTCCTCAGACTTAGAGGCTTTGGAAAATCCCACCACTGGGTGCCTATGGGTGGGCACCCAGAGTGTCAGCCAGATTTCCAAACTCCAGAGCCCCTAGATCCTGACGCATTTACCCCTTGCCTATAAAGATGAGTGGGGATTGGGGCTGACTGGTTTTCTGTGATGTTGTCCAAGTCGATAAAGGCTCTTGCGCCTTTCTGGGGGCCACGAAAAGCATACGGTACTGAATGTTAGAGACCGTGTAATAGTCTGGCTGACCTGCCTTGGTACGAAGATGCCTGTTAGAAACCCACTGTCATGGCACTGTGGAAATCTGGCCTCTCTGGACAATGTGATCCAGGGAGCTTTCTCTCAAGTGGCCTGACGCTGTGGAGGAGTTGCCCACATCACTCCTTTTAACCGAATTCCACTGTGTTGCCCGCCTCAGAGTGAAAATGTGTTTCATTTGGGGGTTAGATCAAAGCCATTTCCCAGATGAGTCGTGAGCCAGTAAATTCTCCATGCGGCATGGAAATTCAGGGCTCTCTTCATCAGAATTTGTCTGGTACCTGTCTGCTGGAAACACTTTCTCGTTCTTTCTGCCTTCTCTGCTCCTTATTGCATATTCCACGTCCCCTCCACCCTATCTAGCAAATTGGTAGCTTGGAAGCCAAATCAGCTGTATTGATGATACCAAGTCTGCATCATTCTGTAGAGATTTGCTTGTCTCCATCCCTGTTCCGGTACTTAGACCCCCCGACCCCATTGGAATTTTGGGATCCAGTTCCAGTCGTAAGGCTTTGAGTCAACAATTCACTGGAAGTACCTTTATTTCCCAAAGGCTGATGGGCTTTTTACCAAAAGAAGTACACCCTATACGCTCTACTCAATGTCACTATAAACCCTGACTATGATCATGCTTCCCTAAGACTAAGCAATACACAGAGCTGGCAGGAGGACCCACAACATCATCCCGGTGTCCCCGGGTCTTGGGTGTCCAGTGCACCTTCTGAGCTAAAGTGTGATGCTCAAATCCCCTGTTTAGATTCTGTATCCATGTGTCAGTCAGTGGTTTGCGTCCGCCTGTCTCGGACACATCCTCTTGCAGCGGCTGCAGGCCTTCCTGTAAGAGCGGATTCCACTCAATCGATTTCTGTGTTTTAACGCAAAAACAACCCCTTTAAACAGGCTTAATCTGCCTAACTGCAGGAAAGCTAATGCACTACCTAGCAACTCATCCCTGGTTATTTTTATAGCAAGCGCCATCTTGCATAACCCATATTCCTCTGCCCCCGTGCCCTCTCTATATGCCACACAGTTCCTGATGAAAAGACCCTTAGTTCCTCTTCAGCCCTGGTTATGAAGGCAAAAAAAAAAATGGGTTTAGGGGGTGATCTGGGGGCAGAGATCAAAACCCTGGGCCCAAACAACTCCAAACTTTGGGAGTTATTTGAAACTCAAATGCTGCAGGTTCGGACCATGGTTAGTTGGCTGGTGCCAATATCTCCTCCTGCTGTGCCTAGGGTAACTCCCCCACTAAAAATCACTCCGGGCTCGCTGGGAGAACCAAGAGGTGACTAGACCTCTGTTTGTGGCTTTGATTTCAGCCCCGCTCTCAGGTCCTGCTCCCTTGCCCGATATGAGTGCGTGAGGTTGTTTCCAGCTGTGATGCCTCACTGGGTGCCTGGCAGGACTGGCCCTCGCAGAGCCTGTACTGAGCAGCGACGGCCTGTGAGGTTCTGATCATTGCAGAAGGCACCTTGCGAACCCTTTGCTCCTGTAACTGATGTCTGATCCCCATTCCTCACTTCTTACAAAACGTCACTGCTGACTAGGTGTTTCTTTAGCTCAAGGGGAGCTTCTGCTGTTGTGACGGTAGGATCCCCATTCCTTTAAACTGAGCTGGCCCCACAGGATGCCCTATATACTCCGCATCTCCCCCTCTCTGCTCCCTCTGGCGCTCATTTCCCAGGGGCTGCTTCTGCTAGCTGCTCCCTCCACTCATTTTTCCCACAGCGAACCCAATAACAGCAGAGACCGAACAAGACTTCCCAACCTGTATGATCAGGTGAGGCCAGAGCCAGCTCACCTGCCCCTAGTTGCGAAGCAAGGTCCCAGCACGGGCACCAGGGGACGCAGTTGCCTCCCACCCGTTCCATTGTAACCTTCTCCCTGTGTCTTCTGCCAGTGACGACGACATTGTGTTTGAAGACTTCGCCCGGCAGAGACTGAAGGGCATGAAAGACGACAAGGAGGAAGATGAGGAGGGGACAAACTCGCCACAGCTGAATGACAGATAAACGGGATTCTTTTAACCAGTTTTGTTTGTTTCCAGTAACACCTCTGCATTAGGCTTCTTATATTTTGTATGATTTTTTTTTTCTACATGTACCGGGAGCCTATGGATCACCCAGATGGTGACGGCAATTATAACCTTACAGCTGTGCCATATTTATCACTGTGCATCTAGCTACCTAGGCTGAAGTCTCGTCAGCTGTCTCGGAGAACGAGCACAGGGCGGTGGGCCGGATCCTGAGGGGGATTGCAGCAATCAGGTGTCACCGACACTCAACACCTCTTAGGATTTGGCCCCCTCTAGTTCCTGGCCCTGTTTTCACTCTGGAGCAGCTGCTCTCAGCCCTTTCATATGATCTGCATCTTTTATGCATTTTGTATAATCCAGACAAGACAAATCTTTGTTACGGGGGTCGGAAGAAGGGGTAGGGCAGACAATGCGTGTGAAAGGGTTTATTTTCTAGGCAAATTGTTTTCACTGCAGATGGGACAATGTACGAAGCGGGCACAGTTCCACACCCTGGCTGGAGAACAGTTGTGACACCGATCAGCTGACTGCACTGAGTCCCGGGCTGTAACTCGCCCTCCCCGTGGGTCACAGCCTATTGGCAAAGCCTGCAGGTCTGTGCTAAGTGCCTACTCTTAGCACACAGCTCTGTGCCCATGCCCCAACCTGCTGGCCCCCAGCCCCTGTCCCTCACCTGGCTGGCTGACGGCAAGGAACTCCCTCCCTTGAGGGTAACTAGACGCCCCAGTGTGGGTCCCATGCTGGCCTTGCTTTGACTCCCACCAGGATCCTAGCCCCACACAGGGTCTTGCAGGAAGTGGTGGAGGACTGGCGGGGCCAGGGCGCTCCTGCTGGCCACTCAGGGAGGCTATGCAGAGCCCACTGTTAGCTGCAGGTAGGACTGGACAAGGGTTCCTGCCTGGGGGAAGCGCCACCTTACGTGATCCCTGCCCGTTCCACTCAGCTTCTACAGAGTCAGGAGAAAGGGGCTGCTAGAGGATCGACCCCAGTAGCTTAGTTTCTTCTGCAACACACTGTGCCCCTAATCCGGCATGTTTAGAGGAGGGATGATGGGAAATGGCTTTTGTGCCCATCACTGGAGAGAGAGATGGTCACCAGCAGTTCAGACAAGTGTGCTGAGAGCGCTGGCCCCCAGTGTGGACATCATAGGGTTGGGGAACCGCTGCTCTGGGATCTCCTTCCCTGAATTGTTGATGAACCTCTGCACTGGGCTTCCCATCTCTCATCCTGCGCCTTGTGTGCCGTGCCATGGACTTGGGCTGCTCATGATCACAAGCTGCAGCCGTTCCACAGTGAGTTCGGATGCCCGCTGGCACATGGGAGGCAGTGGGCACCAGCCGGCCCAGCCTCAGCCTGGCAAACTGGAACAGTGGCTCTTTAAGGATGGGGCCGGCTGCGTTTGGCCATTGCCAGGGGGCCAGAGGGGCCAGCTGCAGGAGGCAGGAATCAGTCAGTCAGGCGAGTGAGTCGCAGCGTGCACTGCCAAAGGCGGATAGTCTCTGGCGACTGCTCAAGCCGTTAGCACAGGGACACACGTGCCTCACTGTGAACTCAGCCACCTGCTCGCCCGCCAGCCGGGGCGGAGTTACCGCAGCACAGTGGCTGTGTGTAGCCCAGGCCGTGCGCTGTCCCACGCTGTTCTCCACCCCATAGGCCTGGCGTGTGGCTGGGGTGCTGTGAAGTGATGAGCGCTGGGATCCATAGGTTAAGGGGGGAAGGTGTGAATGGCAATTTCCGGGCCTAGGCATGACAAGAGAAACAGGCAGGATCGTAGTCCCAGTCCCTTCCATCGCGGAAGCAAGGGAATGGTCCTAGGGTGAGGCGTTAGAAGGAGATTCCTGCTCTCTGGGCTTTGCCTTTCTAGTTCCTCCATAAAGGCTATGGACGAGGTTGTTTGAGTCGTAAGGGACCAATCCTGGAGGCCTTGCCAAGGCAAAACGCTCTGAGGCCCGTACGAGGTTTGGCTGGGTTTGGCCTGTAGGACGAGCCCCGCAGAGTGGCTGGAACAGGGTGGTAAGCTGCACATTCAGCGTTTGCATTTATTCCATTGGAGGTAAACTCTGCTTTGGGCCCCCATCAGCTCCATGGCCGTGCGCACACCTGACCCTAGGAATGCAGGAGAGAAAAATCCTGAAGAGGTCAGTGGTGTTTGATTTCCAGGGCCAATGGGATTGGACAAGGCTGATCCTGTGACTGAAGATAACACTTTGAAGCCAAAGTATCGTTGCGTCTTCGAAACCCATAATGTCTTTATCTTCTGTGCCGGGACTGCAGGGGAGCGTGTGTGTGTATATATATATATCTCACACACATACACACTCACTCACTCGTCAATAGTGGCCAGATTAGATTTAAAGAAAACCTTTCACACTGGGAGAAAGCAATGGCCAGCTCTCCTGTGTCAGTCTGCAGCCTGTAATCCATTCCTCCCTTGTGGGCCTGTCAGCCCTTAGGACACTGAGGACTCAGACAACCCCCATCTCCATGCTCTGTACTGAAGGCATCCCTCAGGGCTGGATTTGGTCCATCTTTTCTCCCCTCTCTTCCTCTGCTGTCCAGGATTATTTAACTGTCTAAATGATTTGAGAGCTGGTTTAGAGGAAAGATGCCCCTTAGGATAAAGTTCTGTTGTGGTGATCTGCATCCATGTGGAATCTTCTGGAGAAAGCATGGGAAACCATCTTCTGCCGTCAAGCCCTGGAGAACCCAGGGTGGGTGCTCTCCATCTGATATATTCTCCACGCCTATTCTGGGTACCCTGAGACCTGCCGATACTGGTGTTTGTAGTGTTGTGGCTGTGTTGGTCCCAGGATATGAGAGGGACAAGCTGGGTGGGGGAATAGCCTTTATGGGGGTGGAAGAACCAAGCGTTTGAGCTCCACAGAGCTCTTCTCCAGGACTGGGGCTGGTACTCAGGGGGACACAGCTCAGTGCAAGGTGGAACAGGTTGTTAAGCATAAGGGGGTAACATATTGCCAGAGACCAGTTACAGAGAAGTGGGAAATTAACACCTCCGCAGTTGTAGGACAAAGGCTGGTTTGTAGATTATAAATTGTAACGAGCCATAAAACCAGGACCATGCTTTTTGGTGTCTAGCAGCATTCTCCATTTAAGTTCCCGGGCTCGTCTTTTGAAGGCATTGTGACGGTTTCCTTTGAGGAGCAGGAATGAGAGAGCTGATACAGAGCAATCATGTTGTGAGAAGTGTTTGCCCGTGGTGATAGCGTGTTTTGGTCTCATCATTTTGCTGTGTGAGTTCATTCGACAGTCTGGTTTCACACACACAGTTATTGTTGGGGCATTTGCTGTAATGGGTCTTATACATCACATGTTGTGATAGGCACGTGTAGGGCCCATGTGTCTTGAAAGGCAGGTTGGGCGGAGTGCTGGTCATTGTAGCAGCGGAGAGATGTCTGCAGGTTTCACATCTGTTGTTTTGGCAGAGTCTGGTGCCGCTTTGAGTGGATGGGTCTGGATCTGTCTTGCTTTTGCTGATGAGGTTGGTGGGTTTGGGGGTTGTTTGAAGGCCAGAAGAGGGGGTTCAGGAAAGATTGAAATGCTGGGACTCTTTAGAGTGGAGATGAGTAAGAGAGGGCATGAGGAAGGCGCACAAAATAATGGGCTGGAGAAAGGAAAGCAGCTGCTCTTATTTACCCTTTCACACTACAAGGACAAGGGGGCACTCTGTGAAACTGAACCGGATTATAACAGATTCCTTACACACAGCACAGAAAAACTTGTAGAACTCACTACCCCAGGACATCCAGGCACAGAGCAGAGTAGGGTTTAAAAGGATCTGACAGTCAGATGTGACAACAGCCACAATTTCAGGAGAGGGGCTAAAAATTATAATATTTTTAGAAGGGATCAAAACCTGCAGGCTTCAGGCATTAGCCCACTTCTAACTGGTGCAGTGGGCAGGAGCAGGCTAGGAAGACATTTCCCCCATGGCAAGAATATTCTATGCACTGGGAAGCTCCTTGCACCTATCTCTGAAACATCTGTTCCTGACCAATGGCGAAGACAGGACCCTGAGCTAGTTGGTCTGACCCACTGGCAACAGAGGGTCCGGCTGATTGCTGCCAGGTTGTCACTCCCTTGCAGGCAGAGCCCAGGAGGACTGTAGCATGTAGGCAGTGACTGGGAATGTCACTGATGGTCAGGTGGGGCTTAGGACATTCTGTTGACACTGGTTCGAATCCAGCCCAGGCTAAGATCTCGCAGGGAAGCAATTACACTAACGGCAGCCCAGTGCGCTAGTTTGGGGCAGGGGTGCGGAGTAGCCAAGGAAGAGCCTCCCATTTAGTAAATGCTAAGGAACACCTCAGAGCTGTACCTAATGGGGGGCAGGGAAAGGGAGACGGCCACATCTTCCCTGGGGATAGGGAAGTTATGAGTGTTTGAGACAGGGAGCAGCGTGCCAAAGAGAGGTGGGGTCAGCATGGAGTCTAGGTTGGGGTGGGGGCTACTTTGACTGACAGCTGCCTGCGACCTGCTTTCCCAGCTATTCGCCTCTCCCCAGGCCCATCGGCATGTTTCTTCTACCAGCTTAGTCTCCCTTAAACTCGGCGGGGCAGCGGCCATAGGTGCTGGAACTGGGCGTGCTGGGGGGTGCGACAGGAAGTGGATTCCATTATGTACAGGATTTACAGCTTGGTTCAATGGCTCTCAGCACCCCGCCCAGATGCTGATCTCATTTGCACAGGGGTAGCTCCAGAATAGCACCACGGACCCCCCAGCAGAGCTGCTGCAGAGCTCACCAGCGTAACTCAGCTCAGAATTTCGCAGTCGTTCCTGGTGGAATTGCATTGTACCAAGCCGCGTGACCCCAGGGATTAACGTGCCCCAGTGAAAATTCCCTCGGGCCTGAGCCAAAGCCCACTGAAACTAATGGCAGCCTCATTAAGACTCTGCTTGCCTTCAGAGGGCTTCGGATCAGGCCCTTAACAGTGTGTCACTTCCACCACCAGGTATGTGAAATTTCCCTTCCAACAACGGCCTGGATTTGGGGCAACTGCATGTGCCAGTGGGTAATTTACCCCAGTAAGAGGCCCTCTCACAGCCAGCTGTGCTCGCTAGCTTGGCCAGTGGTGCTGGCTCTAGCTAGGGCCAAGCAACTCTGGCTAGTTGGATGTTAAGACCTGTAGTGTTACACCCAATGAAAGCAGTAACAATCCATCCTCCGTGAGAAAAAAAACCCGGACAACAGTGGGTGAGGAGATTGTGTATAGTCAGACAGCTCCTGCTGTCCCATCCCCGACACACTCATCATGACAGTAGCGAGCTCGCCGATGAGTTAGTTCTATTCAATAAAGATCTTTGCCCGTATTCATTACTCACCTGCATTCAGCATGAACGTTTGGAGACCGTGCATTGCCCATTCGATCTTTATATACGCACGTCGGGCGCGCTAGAGAGAGAAAACCAACCGTTGTTATTTTTAGGTAACCTGACTGGGCAATGTGGTACTTTTTGTAAAGTGGTTACTTTGTACTGTTCATTGATAACTTGCTTCTTTGGTTTTTCCCCTGTATCTGTGACGTTTCTGTGTTCTGTCAAATAAATTATTCTAGTTTATTAAACTCAGAGAAGGAACCACAGCCCTGCCGTGTCTGAGGCTTTGTTTTGTAGCTTAAGGATGGTTGGGTTCACTTAGTATTATGTCCTGGGAGCCGTAGATGAGGTCATTAAGGGGCACATGCTGATCTGGTTACACTGGTGTAAAGCTGGAAGAACAAAGCTGACAGAACAAGGAGCAATGGTCTCAAGTTGCAGTGGGGGAGGTCTAGATTGGATATTAGGAAACCCTATTTCACTAGGAGGGTGGTGAAGCACTGGAATGGGTTCCCTAGGGAGGTGGTGTCTCCTTCCTTAGAGCTTTTTAAGGCCCAGCTTGACAAAGCCCTGGCTGGGATGATTTAGTTGGGGATTAGGTCCTGCTTTAAGCAGGGGATTGGACTAGATACCTCCTGAGATACCTCCATAGATACCTCTATGAGGCAATGAAAGAACCCCATTGAGTGATGCTGGACTTACAATAATGTAACGGGGTAGAGTTTAGCCAGCAGGACACTACCTGCTGTCAGATGCAGACATGGCAGCCATTAACTTCCACTGAGGCCCTGCACGTGCACAGAGGAACTCACCAAGATGTGATACCTTCGGCCATGCAGCCCTGACCCTTGGAACCCTCTCCCCCTACTTGCCTTTCAGTAAAGAGCCAACTGTGTGGCCAATGCTCAGTAAATACTCTCATGTACTACCCCAAGGCCTGCCATTTCCAGTTTCTCAGTGATCTCTGGGTCACTTCACATGCATTGTGTAACCTAGCTCCATTTGCATACAGCCCATTGTGTCTGGCTCAAGAGACTCGCACGGGGGTTATACCCATTGATTCTAGACCTGAAGTTGGCCTAAAATTTTTACTCAGTCCATGGCTGGGACCTCCTTGTGCCTGCGGAAATCCATTTTGAATTTGCTTCTTCCCGTTCTGTCAGTGACCTGACCTTTCCGTGGGGCTGCACTCATCACTTGTGGCTCTGACAGTCCTTTTGGACTGAGAAGATTGGCTTCCCCGTGGACTGTGGGGTTTGAAGTATTTATGACTAAAGATAGCGCCAGATGGTGCTCTCTCTCACCCCAGCTGTCTTTGGTGATTGTTATTCTGGATTTAGGCTGGTCTGGCAGAGCAGAATCTGGCCCCAAATAAGGACCTTTATAAATGATCAAGTCTTCCTGGGTGCTGGAGGCTGAAGCAGCTGAGAAGGACCAAGGTCCTTGAGCCCCATCCTGTCAATGCTGGCATTACATTGATCATGTGGGGTACGCTGCCCTGCCCCTAACGGCACCAGACGAAGGTGCTGAACGCCTATGGTCCCTGCCAGTGTATCCTGGGGAAATGCTCCTGCCCATGTGGTAATCCGTTTCCCCCTCTGTATGTGCAATGAGCCCGAGTGGTCTCGGGTCTGTACGGTTGTGAGCACAGCAAACAGGAGGCAGCAAAGCCTGCTACCCTTTCCCATAAGCAGTGGGTGCTGCAGGTGATGGACCGACCAGCACCAGGCTGCTGTGCAGGACAGCAGTGAAAAGTCCCGGGGGGTGGGGGGGTGTCACAGCAGACTGGCCCCCTGTGGCCTCTGGGGCGTGGGGTGGCTCCTGATGGTGGATTCTCTGTGGTGGGAGGAACAGGAAGCAGACCCCTCTCCCTGTCTCTTCCAAGGCTTGATCCTACAGGCACCAGAGCATTGGTCCTAGTTTCAGGGGGTACAGGACCCGACCCCCTGGACTCTGCCTTGTGCTGTCTGGCTGGGGGCAGGCCCAAGGGCCAGGCAGAGGCAGTCCCAGCTCAGTGACGAAGCGATTCAAACAGCCAATGCAGGCCCTGTCTCTTTCCCTGCAGCCACAACGCACCTGGCTGGAAGGGGGTGGTGACAGGCTCTAGGGAAGGGTGCTGCAAACATCGGGGAGCAGATTGTGGCTCTTTTCCTACAGCTTCAGACCTCCCAAGACAAAAAGATAAAGCTGCAACCCGCGGTAAGTCTGGGGTATACACCACCCGTCTGTCCCTGTCTCCCGCAGCCATCTGGCTTCTTCTCCGTCACGCTCCTCCATGCGCAGCTTGGGTTTTTCCTCACTGCCTTGGAGAGAGGAGGGGGCCGCTCTCTGCTGGCACATCCCCTCATGGGAGAGGAACTCCTCCATTCGCTCGGTCTTTCATGCCTGAATGGGTGGGACTGATGCACACAGGCCTTGCTGGACCGGCCCAGCCCTGTGGGTCCTCCAGCCCAGACACCTGTCACTGAGCCATGAACGCCCAGAGCCAGGTGTAAAACCCCTGCAGCAGCTGTGGGTTAATCTGCCCCCATGTTAGGTTTCATCCTGGGCTCTAATAATTGGAGACCGGCTCAAGCCCCAAAGCACGAGGTTTAACATCCCTGCCGGAATTGTTGGGAGCATTTGCCTTGCTCATGCTGGCCGTGCTGGTTATCCAGCGAACTACCCGCTCCCCGCTTCGAATCGTAGTTCCTGGCCTCAGGGACAGCCTGAGTTCCCCAATGCCACAGGGATGAGAAAAGATTTCCTTTGCTCAGCTGTGAATTTGCCACCTTTTCATGTCAGTGATTGGCCCCTGGTCCTTGTGTCATGAGACTGAGAGAACCGAATTTTCCGATCTCCCATCACTGGACCAGTCGCTATTTCGTAGCCTCTTATGTCCCTGTTTAGTCGTCTCCTGCCTAAGGCCAACAAGCCCACGTTTTTCAGTCTCTCGAGTAAGAGTCATTTTCCCAGGCCCTCGCTCACTTTCAACTCCCATCTCTGAACCGCTGCTAACTCTGCCATACACTTACAGAGCTGGGCTGACCAGTGCAGCTCACAGGCACCAGCTGAGGCCGCACCATTGAGAACAGGATTATACTCGTCCATGTTTTCTGACCTTTTCCTGCCTGCCTCCAGAGCTGCGCGATGGTATTTCCCCACTCCTGACCTACCCTCTGCCCCGCATGCTGGGGCCAGCCCCCCCGGCTGTACAGTTGAGCTGGCTGTGGCTAAGGCGGCTGGCGTGACACGCAGGGGTGGGGCTGCCTGCAGGACTGTGCACCCTGGGGGTAGGCTGAAGCCCCGTGTAATCGGGGGCTGGCCGAGAATCAATGTAGGACGAAAGATGAAAAGAGCTAGAGCTTCCTAGCTTGGCCAAGCTAGGCCAGGACAGTGGGACGTGGGTAGGGGATGTGATACTAGCCTAGTGAAGGGGAGAAAAGGACAGGAAGCGTTTAGTCTCTTCAAGGATGGGGGGGTAGTGACGGCATGTAATTAGGAAACAGTGAAGCGGGAGGCTGAATACCAGGAAAATCTTGGCCATCAGATGGGTTCAGCTGCTGGGAAGTCCTGAAACAAACCTTATCCCCCACCTCTGGGTCTCCTTCCCAATGTCCCAAACAACCTGGGGGAGAGCGAACGAGGGAGGGAGCGAGCGGGGGAATGGAGTGAGTGGGGCAAGGCCTCGTGGAAGGGGTAGGGTAGATCCTGGGTTGATTTTAAATTCAAAAAGTAATCTGGTGCATAAAAAGGTGGAGACTACTGTAGACTACGTTCAGTTTATAAAGCGGTGGTAATCCCAACTCTCCTCTATGGCTGTGACACTTGGGTTATTGTAGAAAACACCTGAAAACCTGGAACGCCAGGACGAGCACTTCCTTGGGAAGATCCTCAACATAAAGTGGGAGAAAGAAAAGAAGGACTTGTGGCACCTTAGAGACTAACAAATTCATCTGAGCGTAAGTCAGGGAGCTGTAGCTCACAAAAGCTTATGCTCAAATAAATTGGTTAGTCTCTAAGGTGCCACAAGTACTCCCTTTCTTTTTGCGAATACAGACTAACATGGCTGCTACTCTGAAACCTGTCAAAGTGGGAGGATCATCACACCAATGTCAGTGTCCTCGTAGAGGCCAACATCTTCAGCACTGAGGCAGATTATCCAGCACTGGCTGAGGTGGAGCGGGCACTGTGTGTGCCTGCCTGATGTATACTTACCAAAACAACTGCCATATGCCCAACTCACCAAAGAAGAAAGGAAATGGGGAGGCAAAACAAAATGTTTTAAAGACCCCCTCAAGATAAACATCAAGAGTGTGGCATCGACACCACACATTGGGAGACAGTAGCCCAGGATAGGCATAGCTGGCAAAGACTTGTCAAAGAGGGAACGTCTATTTTTGAGGAAAATTGACTCTCTCCTGGTCACAGAAAAACGCCAGAAAAGGAAAGACAACCATCACGCTGCAATCGCGGCCCAACCCTGTCTTCCAACACCACCTGCAATGTCTGCCAACAAGCCTGTGGCTCAAGGATTGGACTCCTCAGTCACCAAAGGACCCATGAAAAATAAAACCTGTGAAAGACCATCCTCAACCTCGCGAGGTCACTGATGATGGAAAACAGAGCCTGTGAAACTAAGCTGCTATCTTTTTTGTTATGAGATTACAAGTTGGTTGATAAAGATAACAACACTGACATAATATACTTTGACTTCTTTAAGGCATTTAACTTAGTGCTACAAATTTTGATTAAAAACTAGAAAGGTATGAAATTAACATGGCACAGAAGTTGATTAAAAGCTGTCTGATAGGTCTCAACAAGTAATAGTGAAGGGGGAATTTTCATTGAGCGTGTGTTTGTCTACAGGTCCCGCAGGGATCAGTTCTCCACTCTGTGCTAATATTTTTTTTTAATCAATGACCTGGAAGAAAACATAAAATCATCACTGATAAAGTTTGCAGATGACACAGAAGTTGGGGAGAGAGAAATAACGAAGAGGACAGGTCGCTAATACAGAGTGATCTGGAGCACTCGATAAACTGGGCATAAGAAAACTATGCATTTTAATACAGTTAAATATAAATGTACACATCTGAGAACAAAGCTTGCAGGCCATACTTACTGGATGGGGGACTCTCTCCTGGGCAGCAGAAAGATTTGGGGATCATGGTGGATAATCAACTGAACAAGAGGTCTCAGGGTGACACTGTGGCCAGAGGAGGCATAAACAAGGGAATCAAGTAGGGGTAGAGGTTATTTTACCTCTATGTTTGGCACTGGTGAG